TCGTGGGGGCTTCTATTTAAGCCCCATGGCTGGCTCAAGCTCACGCTCTTGGCTATTTGCATTGACATAGCAACCTTGTGAGCTTAGCTAAAGCCCTCCCACTCATCTTCATCATTGATTCGTCATCTTTGTGAGATTAGGAGAGAATCCAAGTGCATTGCTTGAGTGTTTGCATCTAGTGGCACTTGGTGTTCGTGTTTTGCTGCGGGATTCGCTTGTTACTCTTGGTGGTTGCCGCCACCTAGACGGCTTGGAGCAGCGAGGATCGTCGAGTGGAGGGTGGTGATTGTCTCCGGCTCCGATCGTGGTGATTGTGAGGGGTTCTTGACCTTTCCCCAGCGGAGCGCCAAAAGGTACTCTAGAAGATTGCTCGTGGCTTGTGTGATCCTCATCTTGTGTTGGTTGTGCGGCACCCTATTGAGGGTTTGGCGTGTGAAGCCAATTAGCGCGTGAACCTCCAAGTGAGTGAATCGTCACAACGAGGACTAACTTGTCGGCAAGCAAGTGAACCTCGATAAAAAAATCATTGTGTTCATCATTGATTCCGAGGTGATTGGTCTTCATTGTTATTCATTCTTGTGATTGATTGGTTCCTTCATCTACACGGCAGTATAACTTTCTTGATTACTCTCTTTACATTACCGCAAACTAGTTGTCAAGCTCTTTAGTGTAACTAGTTGTGAGAGCTTGCTTGCTTGGTTGGTGTGTCTCTTTAGTTAGCCTTTGAGAGCACACTAACATAGGGAAGTGCCATAGCTATTGTGTGAATAGATACTATCTAAACTAGAGTTGTGGTAGGTGACTTGCATTTTGAGTAGACTAGCGCAACTCTTGTTTCACCTCATAATTGTCTAACCATTTTGTTAAGTGTTGTTGTAGAAATATTTATTATGCTATTCACCTCCCCTCTAGCCATTAGGATCTTTCAATGGTCCAATTATGATAAAATTTTTATGGTGGGATAATTACTATATGATGAAACTGTAGTAAAAAATGCATGCTTATTGGATCATGTATAATTGAGTTATAGATTTATTTAGTTTATGCTTGTTAAATAGTTTTAAAATAGTCAAAAGTGTGTAAAAATAGAAACAAGTATGCAATTTTTACTATAATTAAAGCATATAATAACTAGACCACCATAAAAATTTTATCACAATTGGACCATAGAAACTACAGCTATGAATTAATTACAGAAAAACATAAATCTAAAGCTACAACAAAAGCTTTGTGCTAAAGCATACCATATTATATGTTTACTATGTAGATCTACTCATGCAGAGTCTAACAAAATTGGATTTTTCTATTTATGATTTTCTATGATTTTTATGATTTTTTGAAGATTTAGCCAAAATAAATAAAAAAGAAAAAGACAAAACCGCATTTGAAAATCGTTTATAACCGGTCACGGAGGTTAAACGAATGATTTTAAAAGTTTAGGGACGTGATTTACCCGATTTTAGAGTTCGGGAGAAAAAATAGACTTTGACAAAAGTTGAGGAAGGTAATATGGACTTTATCCTTCTTCAGCCGTTGGGCGTTTCAGCTTTGGGCTGATGTTGCATCCAACATGAAGGCAAAAGTGGGGAAGGGCTAGAGGCTAGAGGCGTAGACGAGCGGAAGGGCCTTCTTGCCGGAAGCAAGCGTGGGGACCCGCTGCAGAATACAGGACCTCGTGGGATGCTGACGGCACGCATCTCAGGCGGACCTATACGGCCCCATTCAGCTGGCTGAAACTAGCTGAAAAGCACTGTTCTGACTGAATTGTTGTGAGAGAAAAATACTGTTCCGGCTAAAAAAACAAGCCGAACAAACCAATTTCTGGATAAGCCAAACGGGACCTACATGCTCTGAAATGGAGGTGAGGACTGAGGAGGGCAGGACCAGCTCGCCATGTGGGCATGCTCATGACTCCGGTGGATGGCGCCATGGCGGTGTCTAGTACAAGTACAACACCTTCACAGCAGTTTTCTGTCTTCTCTCTCAAGAAAAAAAACAAAAGAATACATAATCCGCTGTCTGTTCATATCCTCTATTACGCTAATCAAGTCCATTATCTACAAAAAGAATATATTAATATTATGATGCTTAATAAATATTATCAGATCAATATTAATTAAAATATATTTTCATAATAAACATATAAGGAGATACAAAATGTTGAATTTATTTTTGGTATAAATGTAATCAAAGGCCTTGTTTAGATTGGGACTAGGAATCAGTATTTGGTACTGTAGCACTTTCGTTTGTATTTGATAATTATTGTCCAATCATAGCTTAACTAGGCTCAAAAGATTCGTCTCGTAATTTACAATCAAACTGTGTAATTAGTTTTTTTATAATTATACTCCATGTCCAATCATGGAGAGAGTGTGAAAAAACTTAAAACTAGGCTTTCAAAAGACGATTTTGAGGCAAGTAATAAAGTTAGTAAACAAACAAACAACTTTACAATCAAAGCCAACGACAAGAACCTCGTGCAATTAGTTTTTGGCCTTTCTCACATTTAATACTCCATCCTTAAAGAACTATTCTATTAGAAAAGATTTTTTTTATGTGATGGAGTTAGAGAAACAATATCGAATTTATACTTTTAAGAAATTAGTAAAAAAGGCCAATAATTAAAAAAATTTGCTTTCTATTTCTTTTGTAAATTCAAGTTGTTTGGATCTCATGATCTTTAGACTTTTGAGACTCCGCAAGTAAACCTTATAAAAAAAACTTAGTAAACAAACAAACAACTTTCTCACCGCCGTTATTTTGAGATGAATAAAGTTAGTAAACAAACAAACAACTCACCGCCTTGAGATGACACGACTCAAGCAGCCAACGACAAGAACCTCGTGCATGTTACTCATGCATCTGGCCTTTGATCACGCCAATTGTATGTACCTCCATCCTTAAAGAACTACACTTCTAGGTTAGAATAAGTCAAACTTTTTTTTTAAGTTTGATCACGTTACTAGAAACAATATCGACATTTATACTTTTAAGAAATTAGTAAAAACATATTTTATATAATTAATTTAACGATATTTATTTGGTGCTATAAATGCTATTTCTTTTGTATGTACATTCAAGTTGTTTGGATCTCATGATCTTTAGACTATTTTAACTCCTGAGACTCCGAACAAGAGGTTTACGGTTTCGCCAACCTTATAAAAAAAACTTTAGATTACACAAGTAATAAGCTAAAGTGGTTTAAGTTTAGTCCTTATATTAACTTTAGCCAACTAAATCGTAGACTATATAATCGGATCAATGCAAAAAGAGCCTTATTAATTAGTTAGGCTGAAATTGTTTGATGCTGGAGGAATGAGAATTACATTTTTTTTTCCTTTTGACGTAGGGCCGGATTCTTGCTGCAGCTGCGGCCATGCATGTTCGTAGGGATTGATACCATAGCTAGCTGTTGCATGCTAATTCGCACGATACAGTTGGCACATGGCGTACTTGGCACGTAGCCGAAAAGCTGCCCTGTCCGTCCGTTCGATCGTCTGGAGTCTGGACCGCCTTCTTTCCTCCCTCCCTCCCTGTCCGGCTGTCCCTGCAGGTGCAGGGCATCGTCGTCCATGAAAATTATTACGTGCCCACTAAAGTTGAGGGATACGTTTAAAAATGGTTTGCAATTGCACCAAGCAAAGCACGTCCGGCCATCAGCGACCATTGTTCCATATATAACTAGCTAGCTATCGTGTCGAGCAAACGAACGGTCTTGTCAGGGATAACGTAGAGCCAGCGAAATAATTGGTAACTGTGTACGAGTATGTATGCATGCTCCTTTTTGTCGTGCACACGCCAGGCCGGCCTCTACTGGCTGCACGTATTGTGCGCTTGTTTTTGTCGAGCACCCGGCCCATCACTTATCACACCTGCCCCGATCGATAGGTCCAGTGATGCACACATCAACCCAGTGATATCCCATCGATGTACGTAGCCAACACGAACGAGCTAGTCGCTAGGAGCTCTGGTAGCTTATTGGACGTGATCTGGCCTGACACCTATATTATACATGTCGACATATATATCATGCATGCATTGTGCCATCTTGTCAGTGATAATTATCATATCTCAGGGAAGAACAATTGCATGCATATAGTTTAGGGTCTATCTCGTTGATCATCTTACCTACTCCCCCAATGCACACCGAACCCGTGGTGAAGATAGGACAAAGAAATAGACAGAGGCCGGTGTGCTCTCGTTGATCCTGTGTATCATCTCATCATCTATCATGCATGCTGGCTCGTCAAATATAGTACAGCTCAAAATTAGTACTCCTACTTTCTAATTGCATTTGATTATTTTAGGGAATAATTAAATTCCTTTCCTGCCACAGCAAGTATTTTAGTTTTACTGGTGGCTTGATGTTTCGATTCGATGCATAGTGTATTTTACCTTTTTCCCGTGCTGCTACCATACCATACAGATATAGATAATATAATACAGGTAAAGTAGAAGTAATCCTTATCCGAACGCTTTGGTCAGCAGGGCCAAGGCCTTTGGCCTATGAATTTCAGCCATTATATATTGTTTTTTTTTGTTTGTGAAACTTTTGGTCTATGATCAATTTTTGTGCATGCATGCGTGCGTCATGCATGATGAAACTTTCTTTGGCAGTTTGTTCATGAATGCATGATGAACGATTTGGTCATGTATGGTAAAACTCACTCATTCACTCTGCATGCCACATATAGTAGGCTAGTACAGTGAAAATTTGACTCTGCATGCGTCAATTTGGAGCATGCAGCTTCAGGTGATCGAACTATCGAAGAACACCCAAATCCAAGTACACACAGCCAGGTCACCGAGCCCCAGGCCAGCCCCACCAGCCGGCGGCTGACGCGTCGGTCGCGGCCTCACGGGCCCCCACGTCAGCCTCTCCGCCGCGCGCGTGCGCTTCCCTGTATTTCGGCCGCCCCCGCCCCCCGCCGCCGCACCGCGCCTAAAAACATTCCCAGCCGTCTTCCTTCCGCATCTCCAAGCGAGTGAGGTAGAGCGAAATGGCGGCGGCGGCGGCGGAGTGGGAGGAGGAGCGTTCCGTGATGGAGGAGGAGGACGGAGACATCGAGGACGTCCCGCCGCCGCTACTAGGCAGGAATGGCGACAGCGAGGACGAGGTGGAGGTGGGCTCGTTGAACTCCCAGCGGTGGCCGCGGAGCTTCCGGTACGTCCGCGCGCGGTGCATTCTCTACGATCTCATTCCTTCTTCGAAAGGCACGGGCGATCTTGTTCCGAAACGATTAGTAAACGATCTTGTGTTCACATGTGACATGTCGTTTATTTTCCAACCCCACTAGGGAAGCGACTGACACCTACACCATTGCGGCGCCTCCGGGCTTCGGTCACGTCGGCGGCGGTGACTGCAGTGGCCTGGGCTCGGACCTGAAGCTGCCTCTCCTGTCGGACAAGCCACAGGGGAAGCAAGATTCAGCCAAGAACTTGCTTGCAGAAGCAGAACCCTTCGGTTCAGTGCTAAGTGATGGGAAATGCTCAGATAGTTTGCAACAAGCCCCAATCACTCCGGGATGCAATCTGACGCAAACCGTGTTCAATGGTACAGTTCTACCCTTGCAATGTACTGTAACTGAAATGGCACTTACTGAATTTCCTAGGATTGGACGTGTCTCATGTTTTGCCTGTCGTTGGCAGGAGTCAACGTGCTTGCTGGTATTGGCATTTTCTCTGCTCCCTACACGATTCGTGAGGCCGGATGGGCCAGCCTTGTGGTTCTGACTTTTTTCGCTGTGGTTTGCTGCTACACTGGAGTTCTCCTCAAGTACTGCTTTGAGAGCAAAGATGGTGTGAAAACCTTCCCAGACATTGGGGAGGCTGCCTTTGGAAGGATCGGTCGGCTTCTCATTTCTGTAAGTCCTGGTTTCATTAGCACGAAATTTAATTTATTGCACAAAAATTAATAATAGGATTTGAGAACGTGTGAGCACTGAGCCAGCACCTGTTCTCATTTCAAAATTCAGAAAAAAAAAAACACTGTTAGTAATTTCTGCATTCCCTTCTTGACTATCTCACATTGCGTAGATAAAACAGAGTTGTTGTCACAGATAAATAATATCTACCAAAATCTCCATGGCCCTAACCATTTGATGTTTGTGTTTTGTCTGTGCAGATAGTTCTGTACACCGAGCTCTATGTAAGAAACCCATTTTCCCTACCTTATATTTTGCATAACTTGTTTTTTTATTGCTGTTGTTGTTGGTTAAATACATGACTGCATTCTTTTCATATTTGTGTTATCTATGCTTTTTTACTGCAGTCCTTTTCTGTGGAGTTTATTATTTTGGAAGGTGATAATCTGGCGTCAATTTTCACGAGGACCACTTTCGATTGGAATGGAATTCATGCCGATGGGAGGCACTTCTTTGGAGTTCTATTTGCTCTTGTTGTCTTGCCCAGTGTGTGGTTGCGAGATCTTCGAGTAATATCTTACCTTTCAGGTCTGGCTGCTCTCATCCAACTTCATTTTTTCAGTTTTTTCATGCATATTATAACTGATTGATTGATATACCTAATTATTCCTTCAGCGGGTGGTGTGTTTGCAACACTTCTGGTTTTCCTATCTGTTGGTTTAGTTGGTGCTACTGGCAAAGTAGGGTTCCATATGGCAGGGAAAGTAGTGAAGTGGGATGGTATTCCATTTGCAATTGGTATTTATGGTTTTTGCTATGCTGGGCACTCAGTATTTCCAAATATCTATCAGTCAATGTCCGATCGCACAAAATTCAACAGGGCACTCTACATATGGTATGTAGATAGCTATATGTCAATTTGAACTGCATTGTGATGGGAGTAACTCTTGTTGTTCAGTAATGATTTTTCTCATTGTTATGTCTAATCGTGCTTTCAGTTTTGCAATATGCACGGCAATTTATGGCGCTATAGCTGTTATCGGCTACCTCATGTTTGGAGATAAGACTCTGTCACAAATAACTTTGAATCTTCCAAAAGATTCATTTGCGTCAAAAGTTGCACTGTGGACCACGGTAACTATTTTTTTTTGTTGGTTGCCCTGATTCAATTAACTGAGAGCCCTTTGTGTTCCTTCATATATACCCTCATTGTGCATTTTTTTGGTTTCAGGCGATCATTCCTTTCACAAAGTATCCTTACACATCTTAATTATCACTTCAGAAACTTGAGGGTTTTAGGACCGCATTGTGTTTCTGAAATTGTCTGTCTCCTTTAAGGATTGCTTCATCCTTAACTGCTTGCAGATATTCTTTGGTGATAAACCCATTGGCTCGGAGTATAGAAGAGTTGCGCCCAGCAGGGTTTCTGACTGATAGAGTCTTCTCTGTTACGCTGCGGACTACCCTTGTTGCATCAAGCGTATGCATTGCCTTTCTCCTGCCATTCTTTGGTATGTAACTGACGCATTATGCTTAAACGTGGAGTCCTGTCTGCATCTGTAGTTATCAATAACTTTTGTATGTTTAACCTTGTTAACATATTAAAACATAGTCGTCTTTGATGTTCAGAAATCTTGAGAAAACATGCTTCATTTTAAATTTCAGAAACAATTTGATCTTTATTTGCTCATATTAAGCAGGTTCATAAGCTATAGAATGAATAATGATTCTCTGCTGTTAAGGAAGCATCTATATACAAGAGTTTTACTTTTCTTAGGCAGTGAAAATACTTTCTAAAAATACACAGGAGACTTATGCATCTTCATTTTTCCTGGTTTCTTATGAATGAACATGTGGTTCTGAGTTGCATTGCACATACCAGGTCTTGTGATGGCTCTCATTGGATCTCTTCTTAGTATACTCGTGGTATGTTGCTTCTCTTCACTTTCACTACTTGCCTGGTCACGGTAGTATAATTTGGGTGCCATTTTTTTTTCCAAATAGGACCTTAATGGTCATGCTAGTATAATAAAACAAAGTGCAAGAAAACAAAGCTGTCAAGTCAAATATAGTTCTTACTGAAACAATGCTAGCTAGCTAGATTCTGAAACCTCGTTCTACATAACATTTTTATAGAAAAAACGAAGGTGTTCTATATATCTGATGAAAAGCAATGTGATAACTAACAGAATTAACAAGTTTCAACATCATATCCCGGGACAACAGCAGTCTTGCTCTTACCACAGCGTGTTATTGTACCATAGCATGCAGAGATGACAAACAGAGCAATAGACGTGTTTGTTGTTGACACTGTATCTGCATGATTGCCTATCATTTTCAGGCGCTCATAATGCCCGCCCTGTGCTTCCTGAAGATCGCTCGGAATAAAGCGACACGCTTGCAGGTAAACACTGGGTCTCTCTCTCAAGACAGTACATGACAACGTCGTTCACACTCCAATGACTGACACCTGGTTATTTGTCACTCCGATCCGTTGCCGCTACCGAAGGTCATCGCAAGCGTCGCGACTGTGGTTCTGGGCGCCGTCTGCGCGGTTCTTGGGACGTACAACTCCATCGCCAAGATAGCCGAAAGCTACTAGAAAGTGCAACGTCCAAATTAAAGACCAAGGTCTGCCATGGCCCGGCCGCCGCGCCTGCACAGGGCGCCATCGTGCCCTGTGTCTAGGCCTCCCTTGTATGTACTGCACCGTGCATGCAGAAGTGCGACCTGTATTCGGTCTGTTTGTGGTCCGTCCCGGCCTGTACAGGGTACCATCGTGCCCTGTCGGCCTGCAATAAGAGGGCACCTCTGTGCGTGACTCTGTTTTATGAAGACTTGGTGTTTCTGCTCGCATTTCCATGAATTGGTGTTTCTGCCATGATGCCTGGGACCGTGCCGTGCCGGCGGGCGGCGGGCGGCGGTCGCCGGTTGCCGAGGCCCGAGGCTTGCAGCCGCGGTCAGGCGTCGCGGGGGCGAGGACGTAGCAGTTTGGGCGTGGCCGGCCTACCGATGGCGCAGGGGTTGTTTATTTTGAAATGCCCAGCTCCTACAAATGTCGCTCTACCAAACGGGACCTTTATATATGCCTGACAGAACCATAGCACGTCAAATCACCTCATGTACTTGAGAGCAAGAAGGATTCTTTGATCACATAGGAAAACATATATGGACAATATTAACTTCCTACTATCAATTTCTTTGGAGAATATGTCAGAGCGAGCACACGTACAACATGAATCAGACTTACCACAGAGTATTTGTATAGAACATAACAATATACATGAAAAGAAACGGTGTAGCAAGACATGTATAGTTTGCTGGAAAAGCATAAGTATCTCCAAACGTTCTTTTGATCTTCTTTGCTGGGAAAGCATAAGGCCTCATCAGCATTGCTGAATTTAGAAGCTGCCAATGATATTCCACAAGGAAGCCTATGAACCTTTTCTTCGATCATCCATTCAATTCAACTGATATGCCCTCAAACTTCCTTTTGATGATGTCCACGAAGTTCCAGGTTGCAACACTTTTGTTATTGCTCTAGTTCCTATTTGCTAAAACGATTTAATTGTAACTCCAAATAGACAGATAAGAGTACTATAAGCTACGATCAAGGGGCGAACATGTTGCACTCACCATCCTCTACCAAATGGCAGAAAAAGGAACCTCCCAGTTGTTCCCTCTCAGAACAGCGTGGGTGAACCTAGAACAAGCACATCCACATTAAGGTCCTGTTTAGATCCATACAACTAATAGGTAGCTCTCTTTGAATCCAAACGTGTCTAGCTAATTGTTAGTTAAATATTCAACCAACAACTATTTCACTAGTGTACTAAACTAGCTAATAACAGTTAATATTATTAGCTAGCTAACTATCAATAGCTAATAGATCTAAACAACGCCTAAGATGCCCATAAGTTGATCCAATTATGACCGGGTGATCAAACAGATGCTAGAGCCTTGCCCTCGGAGGGGAGTTTTTTTAGAATAAGTACCGCTTTATTCATATATCAGAGTAATCAGTACAAACTTCATTTGGAGGAAAAAGCAGCCAAACATGCCGCCCTACAGATTTAGAAATTGAGCTTTTAGCTAATCTATGAGCATCACCATTCGAGTTCCTACTTTCATATACGACCTCCACCGACGCGAAGCTTGCCATACTAGCCAGCATTAATCTATCTAATGATGTGACCATATGGACTCATCACTTGGGCCACGCATATATTCTTCACTATGTTCGCACAGTCGGTAGCAATCCTGACCTTCTGAAGCATGAGGTCACTCGCGAGAGCTAGACCTTCTTTGCAGACCAACGCTTCCGCCGTCTCTGGATCTGAAACTCCTTCCATCACAATTGCAGACTCTCCCAAAAAGGTGCCTGCCTCATCCCTTGCAATCGCTGCCACTGTCGCAATGCAATAATTATTGGATAGTGCAGCATCGACATTTATCTTCATCATGCTTTGAGGGGGCGGGATCCAGCGAGGGTTCCGAGCCGGCATCCCTATTTTCTTCTGCACATTTGGTGTAGCTAGGGATGAAAACGGAGCGGAGCGGAGCGGATAATAGCCTCCCCATATCTTAATCGATTTTTCTTGATTAGATTCGGGGAGGATCGGGTATCATGTGGATTTAGATGCGAATACGGATTTTTTGGATGTCGGAAATGGTAGGAATTCGGAGTGGTGTTAGAGCGGAGCAGACTTTTTTAAGTCGGATAATATGCGCTTATGTGTTGTTTTTTATGATGAGAAACCGTTCATTAACCAAAGCCATAAAGCGGCGGTACAACAAGAAATAATTATCATCATTCCACTACTTCGATTTAAGAGCTCACAAGATTAATACAAAAGTGCTCGGTTTGAATTTAAGAGTATAAAACAAGTGTGTAAAAGACATTTTATTAGGCAAAACTTTGCCTTCACTCTTTGCCGTGTACCGGTCCTCCACTTTGGTAGATAATAATTCTTTTATCGCCTGTATTTCAATGTACCGGCCTATAGTTGACGAGCATTGTTGTGGGCTACAATATAATAATGCTTGTGTCATGGACTGAGCTGACTTATATTCTTGCCACCTGAGCTCCTTAAAATATTCGGATTATCCTATTATAAGCATCGATAATCCACGTTCAATTATCGGATAATCCATATCCGCCGGATTTCGCCAATCCCATACCCTACACCGCATCCGTATATAATCGGATTCGGATTATCTAAACCCCCTCATGGATATTAGAAACACTTTTCCATATCCTTAAAATTCGGATTCGGAGCGGATCGGAGCGAAGAATTATCCATACCACTTTCACCCCTAGGTGTAGCTGATTCCAAGTCCGCAATTAAGCGCTCCACAAAATTATGAGTCGACAATGAGCTTTGAAAAATATATTTTCATGTATGGCTTGTCGTCTCGCATAACAAACCAACCACACTGTGACTATCAGCGGCACAAGATCCTCATGCGGAGAACTGCGACTGCCTCAGAGCATCTCTAAGAGAATCTCCATATCCTTCCTAAACGTTGTTTTTAGGCCATGTTCGTTTATCTTATAATCCGTACTTTTCAGCTTGTTTTTTCAGCTAGAACAATGTTTTTCTCTCACAATAAATCAGCCGGAACAGCGCTTTGGCTTGTTTTTTCAGCAAAGCTACCCTCCAACAGCTTCTCTAAATGGTTATCCAAATATAGCTATCTTCTATTGTGGATTTTTCGCTAGCTGAAAATAGAAGACGAGAATGACTCACTAGAGTGCGGATGAGATATAGAAAAACTGTTGGAAAATAAAAAATATAAAAACGATTTTTATTCAAATGACTCTTGAAACGATGATTTAGCGGAGATGGTCTCATGAAGCCAACCACGAGCATCACTATGCTGGGCCCTCGGAGGGGAGTTGGGCCGAGTGATATAAGTCATGGGCCTCTTTTTCTGTTTTGATGGGCTGCACTCTGTTTCATCCTTGCCGCAAGTCATATGCACAAACCCTCTAATCCTCTCACCTCAAAACCCTAACGTCCGTCCCCAATTCACCTCCCACCGCCGTCCCGCACCAAACCTCCATCCGCCCCGAGCCGAGCCGCCGCCGCCGACGCGCCATGAGGCCTCTCGACGAGAAGGAGACGACGCAAGTATTCGAGAAGCTGTTCAAGTTCACGGGGCCCAACCTGAAGCACCTCCTGGAGCGGCCCGCAGTGGAGGGCCCCGACGCTGAGCCCGGCCGCTACTGCCTCCGCCTCAACCGCAACCGCGTCTACTACGCCTCCGAGGCGCTCGTCCGCCGCGCCACCGCCGTGTCCCGCCCGCGCCTCGCCGGCGTGGGGACGCCCATCGGCAAGTTCACCCACCACGGCGCATTCCACCTCACGGTCCACGCGCTCGACCTCCTCGCCGCGCACGCGCGCCGCCGCGTCTGGCTCAAGCCCGACACTGAGCGCTCCTTCCTCTTCGGTAACTCCGTGCCCAAGTCCTCCCTCGCGCGCATCACCGAGAACACCAAGGCTGGGGACGGGGTGGTCGTCATGTCCATGGCCGACGTCCCGCTCGGGTTCGGCATTGCCGCGAGGTCGGCGCAGGACTGCAGAAAGGCCGACACCAACGCCGTCGTCGTGCTGCACCAGGCGGATGCCGGGGAGTACCTCCGCAAGGAGGAGGAGCTCATGTGAGGTGCGCCGAGGCTTGCCTGATTAGGTCATATTCATGAGTGAATTATGGAAAATTGTGCCTTGTTGTGGTGTTCCAATGCTTGAGGCATATATCTATGTACTCAATGGTTAATTGTCGTTCTGAGATGTGATGATTGCTGTCGCTAGATTTCACCTTTAGCAACTGGTTCTGCTTCTAGGTGAATATCTGACTCAGTTGTCCTCAGAGAGTGCTAGTGCCTTGTTTAGCTGGAGGTCCTCAGAGAGTGCTAGTGCCTTGTTTAGCCGGAGGAACAGGCTTGTTCTTGAATGGTTTTGTTCATCATTTCATTGTGGGTTCATCTGAATGGCATGACCTTACATCTTTTATTCAATTGATTGACATTGTGTCCATATAGAATGGTACGGGAATGGACCAGTTCATACCATTCCTGATCAAATCAGAAGATTAGGCATAAAAATTAGGATATCCTAGGACTTGCCCATTCCACAGACTAACACCTCATACATTATTGTTATGCAACTTTTCGATCCTTAAGGTTCATAAATTCTATATAGGATTTAATGATTCTTTGGTTTTCATATACAAATGATGTCAATAGTGCCTGAGGCTACTCGTAGGTCGCACATGGCAATTGCTTCTGCTGCTGGCAATCATGAAAATAGAGTTGATGGTCTTTCTTCAGTAAAAACAGTACTGGATTTTAACTTCCGAAGTGTGAATAATCTACTAAGGCTTGTGCGGATTTCAATGGAGTTGGTCAGCTGCTGAGGTGTTCAGAATCTGAGAAAATACCATCCGATCGAAGTTCCTGTTGGATGTTTAATCCAATTAACTTCGTTCTTGATGAAGTACCATGAAGCTGAATAGTTCAACAGTGCAAAAGCATAGGTCTTCTCATTTGCCCTCGCTGGTCAATTTGTACCGAGACTGATCATGGAATTCTTCTTCCTTTTTTACTTTGATGGCACCCAATTAGTATACATAGTTGCATATCCACTTGGATGATTTTGTTAATGAGAGACGCAATTGAAGATGAGCTTCGCACTGCTCAACGCCTCAACGCTTGTGATAGTGATAGTTTTGAGGAAGAAGGATGTTCTTGCGCCTGCACACAATACATTGTTATCTGGAAAGCGGCTTGCTCCTCAGCATTCTCTTCCTACATAATGTAAATTATGTGAATCTCCAATCAAGGCTGGCTTATGGCTGCAGAGTTTTCCTCTGAACAGTACAAGATGATGTGTCGCCAGTTGACAATTTTGATGGCAACTCTTAGTTAAGGACAAATGAATTCTGTGTCTTTTTTTAACTGCTACTCCTTGATTTGGTATCTTTATTTTTGAGCAGAGAGACAAATGAATTCTGTGTCTTTTTTTTAACTGCTACTCCTTGATTTGATCCATCTTTATTTTTTAAGCGCAGAGAGGGGGGGGCTTAAGCTTACAGCAAAGCGAACTAATTGTTCTAAGTAACCAAGAAATCGGCTAGAAATCGGTTTTTTTTTTTTTTTCCTTTTCAACCTTGCCATGTCGTGTCTTCTGGATAAAGTTCATGCAGGTATCTTTATTAATATTATTATCGTTAATTAATGGGATTGTACATATCTATATTTGCTCTTTCCTTGAAGTAGTTAAAATGAAATTGAGTTCTAGCTAGTTTACTGAATAGATCTGCTGCTATGGTGCAAAGTACAAAAGTGACCAGTAAGAGTATTTGCCGATACTACGTACTAAATCATTATAGACTTATAGGGTATTGTCTGACCTTGAATTTATGCCGTTTTGTTTCCTTTCGCTCAAATCAGAGTTAAACAATTTCTCCATTCCGTATGACCTGCTTTTGTTTGTTGTAACTTGTTTTCTTAGAATTAAACTTCAATGCTGCATTCACAATCAGTTACCTGAACTTTTAAAGTTGTCTCATCTTGATCTAAATCTTCCACAGGACAGCACTTCATCCAACGTGGCACGCCACGGTGGTCACAGCTGCATGGCCCACGCATGTTTTATGCAAAAAAGAACACCGTGTGATTCCTCATATCCTCGTCCCTTTACCATCTCCGCTCCGTTGCTCCGTTCTCGTCCCTGACCGCCGGCGACGACAATGGCGGAACCCTAGGCTAGCACATCCATCGGTCCAAAAGGTATCTAGTTCCCGGACTTCTTCCCGGGTGGGTAATCTATGATGATATTATTACCTTATTTTAGTTAAGTATCTTAGTTCTTCACAGGGGGTTTTCATCTCTGAATTTTGCTTCCAAAAAGTAGGCCTAAAATACCTCGCGGAACCCTGGGTTAATTAGCAGGGGACCGCGGTGAGGCGTCGCGGCTGTTTGGGCGTGCCCGGCCGATCCATGGAGCGGGGCTGTTTGCCTTCCTGCGGTGGTTGATTGAATGACGTGGATCGCTCGGTCTTTTATTTGACGCCCAGGGCGACATTCTCCGGATAAGATTTCGTCGAGTAAACTTCAAGACAGCGTTACCGACGTGGAGGATAATGATTCCACAGTAGCTCAGCTAGGACTCGTCTGTGTCTAGCTTGATCCGACGGCAAAATTCCAAACACGTCTCCCACACACGCAGTCCAGCTGACCTCTGCATTACACGCTTCCTAATCACCCGGTTGCTGGAGGTCAGGCGGCAAACCAAAGCAGCACCACAGCTAATTAACCCACCCGAGCCCGAACGCTGTCGATAGACAGGCATCGCGCGCTCAGATACAGTCAGATCCGTGTGACAACGGGCCAGTTACCTGCGCTGAGTCACTTCCAGCGCATGCACATGCATACTGCACGAACCGACGCACCGGCGGCGGATGAGCGAGTAATGTGACGCGGAACCATACATGGCGGTGATCTGATCTCGCCACCATTTCATTCCAAGAGAAAGCAAGCGACAAACAGAAATAAACGCGGCTCGGGTGACGGGTGCGTATGTCCAGAGCCCGACCCAAGTTGCTTACCCGTTACATCAGGTCCTCCGACGAGAGGCTTTCCAGATTGGGCCATTTTTGAGTCTTGCTCCCACTGCCCAGAAGCCTGGCTTGCGGCTTGCCCCACGTACGTACCCCTAGCATGTGTAATCTCTACCCTCCACGCGATCGTGATCGACGAGATAATCTAGAAAAACCCACACGCGAATCGATCGATCCCCGCATCATGGAAAGAGCCCCGCCAGGCCAGCTGCCGGCTGCTTGTCCCGGACCTGCACTTGCAGCTCCACGAGACCACGACGCGTCCTGGTCCTAGAGATATCGTTTATTTCGTCAGAATCAGACATGTGTGGCAGGTCGGTCGCCTCGCCATATTCCTTCTGCCGGAGGCAGGGCATTCGTTCGTCAAACAAAACCCGGTGCACGGTCGATCACGTACACCTCCCATCCAGAAGATATTTTTGAACACAAGTGACTACCTGTGGAGATGTGTGGTAGATCTGTTCTGGTCGGTTGGACAAGGTGAACTCATTGCATGACTCATTCAATTCCTCGAACAAAAATAAACAAACAGAGCTTTTACATAATCTCTACACCTAAAAAGACTCTAAAGTAATCATTTACCGGTGATACCAAGTACATCCCGACTCCAGTTCGGCTCCCCTTCCTTAGTAGCTGTTATATTATACATATCTATTACACATAAAAAATAACTAACGTTATCGTCAGATCAACTAATCGTTCGCTCTACCTGCCGTAATCCATCGGGGCCTGCGGAGTCTGTGTCGGGTGCAGTGCAGCCACGGAGTCCGAGTCAGGTCTATAAACGGAAGCCCTAGGCTCACGTGCCACCTCACCGTTTGTTTAATCCAAAACACACGTACAAGCTAAAGGAAAAAGGACATATGAGCTCACCAGTTTAATTCAAAAACACGTATACGACCAGTTTAATTTTGAAGCACGTAATCTGAAAAAAATTAAAGCTAGTCCTTGCTGTCTGATCGTCGGCGAACAGCACTAGCTTTCATCAATTACACCGTTTCATCCTGCATGTCTATCTGTTAACTCGAATTTGCTAATTTTAATATTTTGCTAAATATGTTTATCTTTGATAACGATTCTTTTTCAATATGATGGTCTCCACACTATGACGGGTTAATCGAATGAAAAATAATAATTCTCACGCATCAGTGAGAGAAAAGCCTAACACCACCAATACTGGTAAAAAACAAAACATCCTTTGACTATATTTTATACGGGCATTTATCCAGTAAATCAGAATTTTTTTCACATGTTGAAGACGGGCCGAAACAGCAGTCAGACTGAAGAATTTGTGGCCCAGTACCATAATTCACTCAGGCCATCTGTATCTGGTGCCCGCGGGCCAGCCAAGCCAGCACACATCTCCTCCCGAACTTGCTAAAGTTTTACCGCCATACAGCACAGCCGCGCAGAGCCGCCGAGCCAATCAGGCAGAGCAAAATGGCCGGAACCGCCGCGTCCCCCACACCACTTCTCTCCCCCATCTCCGGACGTTATGTTTGGCGGCGCCACGTTCTCCCGTGGCCCACAAGCCGGTGACACAGGAGTAGGAACGGCCGGGTCCGGGTGGCGTACTGGCGTCCCTCGTGTCCCCACGGGCCCACCCCGCCTCCTTCCGAGGTCCGACCAGCGAGCAGTGAGCAGGCCGCGCCTCTGGCCGCCTTGTCGCGACGCGCGATCCCATCCCTAATCCCTTCCCATCCGGCGCGGGCGCGCGGCTCCAATCCTGTCGCGTGGCCATTAAAAGCCTTCCCCCTGCTCCGCTCGTCTCTTCCGGAACCGTCCCTCGCTCGTCGTCTCTTCGCCTCCGCTACGCAATTCCGATCCACGCTGCGGGGCGCGGGCCAGTTGTGACGACCGCGCAACTCGTGTGAGAGAGAGGCGGGCGGCGATCGGAGATGGCGCAGGACAAGCCCCGGAAGGAGGAGAAGGAGGAGGAGGAGTTGATGCTGGAGGATGGAGGCATCGAGGAGAGCCCGCGCCGCAGCTTCGAGGACTGCAGCGACTCCGAGGAGGACCGCGGGGAGGACGATGACGAGGACCGGGACGGCGACGCCGTCGGTTCGCCGCGCTCCTTCCAGTCCCAAAAGTGGCCGCAGAGCTACAGGTGCGTGCGCTGTTGCCATTCCTTGCTCGAACGCCGCTTACGTACGCGGCTTTTTTATTACTACTCTGTTGATTAACAGAGTAATCAATTATTATCAGCAATCTGTTCTGTTTACTATTTTTTATTAGTATTTATTACCGGTAGACTACTGTAGTAGTCCTGTGCGTAGCGAGCGGCTCCGGTGATGGAGATGGACTGATGGCGGCGGCGGGGTCGCTTCGTTGATTCCCCTGTTTTTAGTACTCCCTTTATCTAAAAAAATACAATTCCAAAATTAAAACAACTTAAAAAATTAAGATTTAAATAAATTAATTAAAAATTACATCAGCATTGTATCTTTAAATATTTTTTTACAAAAAATATATACCATAATTAGCCGATCATACTTATTTGATAATTCCTCCCGTCCTAGAAAGAATATAATTCTAGATCAGTATTCAGTCAAACTATCTTGGATTTTAACTAAATTTAAAAAATATCAATACATGTCATACGAAATAAATATTATATGACTCTTTTCATTTAATTCAACGCCTGAAACTAGAACTTTATGCTTTCTAAAGCGAAGATAGTATCCTATATATTAGTATTTTTATATATTTATTTAGTCAAATTTAAAATTATTTAACTCGTAAAAAAGTGAGAATTATATTTTTTATATTTTTTCTCGAACACACGGGAGAATTAACAGGTAGAAAACGGTCACTGGAAACTACAGATTCCGTATCTAGGTTAGTTTTCTAGAGACACAAATGCCCTAAAAGTAAGAAAAAACACCCTCCACACGAAGAAGAAAACTTATTGAAGCAACTGGACCAGCGTCTTTGCACACAGGAGAGTATGTTGATTAGTGGGCCTGGTTGAATCGTCAATTTCGTGATTGGGACGGGATGTGGAATGGACGGCTGGTTCGGCCGCAGATTGAACACTCACACGTGTCTTGTTGGTATTTTTCCTGAGGTTCCTTTTCACGTCTAATCAGAATGCACTAGAATGCATACTTGGGAGCGGGAGGTGCTCTGAACGCTGCAAGTTCTAAAAATTGAGGCGTCGTGCCGATAAGCATGATGACCACAGGTTCATGCATTGTTTGTGCTACCATTGTTGACATATTCCACATGTATTTTGTCATGAGTTTTATGCAGTGGACTGGAGTTTAGTCCCTGTTATTCTAAAAGAGGACACATGACATGGCCCAGAGGGGATGTAAAAGACATATTTGGCTTCTCTTGGCATCTGAAAACAGATGATGCATGTATCGTTCAACTTTCTTAATAGGACTATATTGGTCCTGTAACTTATATTTTTTAAATGAAGAACTGATCCTGCTATTACCAAATCAATCGTTTTAGATTTATTGGTCGAGGTTGTGTTCATGCTGGTTGATGCACCAAGAACTTGAGACATTGCACGATTTCTGTATCTGTTGGCATCTAGTGGTGATCATACTTAATTAATGAACTCCAGCCGTTATGCTACAAGATTATTCGTGGATCAATATGTACAGTACAGATAATGTGATCATGATATTCTTTGATTTTCAGGGAAACAACTGACACCTACACAATCGCTGCATCACCGAGCTTCGGTTACTTGGGCCCTTCTACAAGCAAATACTCACTCCTCGATCTTGGTCGTAGTGGTCTGGGCTCTGACCTGAAGTTGCCTCTAGTATCGGACAAGGCTGATGGAATGCAAGATTCTTTTAAAAACTTGCCGAAAACCCTTAGTTCAATAAGAGATGAGAGAGTCTCATTTCAGTTGCAACACACGGGAGAAATCTACATTAGTCAAGGGTGCAGTGTGACACAAACAGTCTTCAATGGTACCATCATTTGAATACAACGTGTTCAACTTACTTGCTATATTGAACATGTTTGATACATATTTCTTTTCGTTAATTGGCAGGGATTAATGTACTTGCTGGTGTTGGCCTTCTTTCCACCCCATTTACAATTCATGAAGCTGGATGGACTGGCCTTGCAGTTCTAGTATGTTTTGCGATTGTTTGCTGTTATACTGGAATTCTTCTGAAACATTGTTTTGAGTGCAAAGATGGTATCTCAAGTTATCCAGACATTGGGGAGGCTGCATTTGGAAGAATTGGCCGTCTGTTGATATCTGTAAGTTTTGGTATCTTTAGAAGCATTTGGAATAGTATGTAGAGATGCCTGTGCACCTACCAAAGTTACATGTCACAATGCGTAGTACAAGCAACTATTGATCTTTGTTCCCCATACACGCTTTCATTGCATGGGCTACTGTCTACTGTTGTATTGATTGTCAACGATCAGCACCTAACCTTGATCACTTCCGTATCTGAATGTTTGCAGTTTGGCAAAAATAGACACCTACTCAAACTATTTACTCTTTTTTTTTTCCTTTTTTGAAATGATGACACCTGTTCATAGTGCATATCACATGAATGAATCTAAGATTTTACACTCAACCATTCGCACCTCAAGGCTAGAAAAATTCGCATGCCTCTTTGTTTTTGTTTCATGCATGAGATTTTTTTTCTAAACTTTTTTATTTGTAGGAAAGAAAAACTAACTGATGATTATTTTTCGTGCAGATTATTTTGTATACTGAGCTATATGTAAGTACCTTCCATTTAGTTTGTCGTTTAGTGTTTTTTAGAGACCAAACACAGGACTAAGTTTTCCTTTTATCATGTTATTTATTGGGTGCAGACATATTGTGTGGAATTCATTATCTTGGAGGGTGATAACCTCACATCAATTTTTCCTAAAGCTGGTTTTGATTGGCTTGGGATTCATGTTGATGGGAAGCATTTTTTCGGAGTGTTAACTGCTATTTTAGTCTTGCCAACAGTATGGCTGCGAGATCTTCGAGTGCTCTCATACCTTTCAGGTCTGACTGCTGATAGTTTGTTTATTTTTGCACAGTATTATTAGTAATATTAAAATAAGGATCAAATGACTTCGCATGGTTTTAACTAATTATGCATGCAGCGGGTGGTGTGATTGCAACTCTTCTCGTATTCCTGTCTATTGGTTTAGTCGGTGCTACTGATGGTATAGGCTTCCATTCAACTGGGAAGGTTGTAAACTGGAGTGGCATGCCCTTTGCCATTGGTATTTATGGATTTTGCTACTCTGGGCATTCAGTATTTCCAAATATCTATCAGTCAATGTCCGATCGCTCTAAGTTCCCTAAAGCACTGTTCATATGGTATGTTTGGCCTGATTCCTGTTCCAGTTTACCTTGTTACTGAATAATAATGATTTTTTTCTCAAGGGGTGATGGTATTTTGCAGTTTTGCAATTTGCACAGCAATATATGGCTCTTTTGCTGTCCTTGGCTTTCTCATGTTTGGAGAGAACACTTTATCACAAATCACTTTAAACCTTCCAAAGCATTCAGTTGCCTCAAAAGTTGCACTATGGACCACGGTAACAACTGCATCCAGACCTAAGTTTACTTTCTCAAATTCTAGAAATCTTTTCTTTATATTACCTTTTTAAAAGAATTTTCTTAACTCTTTCCTTTATATTACTCAGTAATGTTTTTGTATGTTTTCAGGTGATCAACCCTTTCACCAAGTATCCTTATCATCAAAACCTCAAAATTTCAGTTTTCTAGGATAACATTTTGACTTTAATTGTTCTAAATCTTTGTGGAATTTCTTTATCCTTAATTACAACCAGATATGCCTTGTTGTTAAACCCATTAGCTCGAAGTTTAGAAGAGTTGCGTCCTGAAGGTTTTTTGAACGAAACATCATGCTCTATTATACTGAGGACTGCCCTTGTTGCATCAACTGTATGCATTGCGTTTCTTCTGCCGTTCTTTGGTAAGCATGCACCCATTTACTGAGTTGTGCATCCCACATCACTCTTTACTTGTGTTTATCCTGAAAAATTCAGTATATTGTATCGCATTAATGTATACAGACTTTTTACAAGTACAGTACAAACTAAACCAGATTTTGCTTTCTTCTACATAATCTAAATTCAACTTAAGCAACTTTAAACTCTATATACTTCAAGTGGCATCTCAGTTTACTGTCTTGACTGAACCCCTGCATTTCTGAACTATCTGCTTCCTGTTTCAGGTCTTGTGATGGCTCTCATTGGATCTCTTCTTAGTATACTTGTGGTAAGTCATCTCTTTTTTCATTTAATTTAACTTGTTATCACTGTACTGAGCTGTGTTGTGAGACTACGTACGAAGTGGCAAACTTGTCGAGATAAAGGTTGCTATGCTGGAATTATAAGAACAGTATTGGCACTTTTCTTCATATCTAAATTTCCTAACTTGCATATACTTAGTACTTGTGAATATGTGAACCGTTTGATAGCATTTTTAATGCAAGAGAAATAATAGCATTGTTTGGTTTCTTTTCCTGATGTATCATGCATCGTTTGATTATTACAGTTAACAGCCTCGTACAAAGCTGTCAGACAGAACTTTCTGATATACCATGCATTGTTATTTCATTTGTCGCCAAAGAAATTGGCATGGATGGTAGATTAATCGTATTTTATTATACAATGTGATTGGGTGTATATTTTCCATAATTACAGGCAGTCATAATGCCAGCCTTGTGCTTCCTGAAGATCGCACAGAATAAAGCAACTTGTTCACAGGTAAATGACCGCCAAATTGCAGTTGTCACAAAATGAATTTCCGTCTCCGCATACCGGGCTCTCAACTGGAGATCTCTGATGATACTGCCTGGTGGAAGTATTCTTACGGTGGTAATGTTGCAAACTTGGTCGCTGATATGGTTGCTTCTCAATCTCCAATTTCAGGTAATCGCAAGCATTGGTATCATTGTATTGGGGGTCATCAGTGCTGCCGTGGGGACGTACTCATCCGTGAAAAGGATTGCAGAAAACTACTAAGCTCTTCGACAATTGCTGTCTGCAGAGTCTAATGGTCAGGTTTTATGTACGATAAAAGTTTTGCTAGAACTACCGAGTTTCCTATAGATTATTATTAATAGTCTACTACAGTAAAAAAAACTGAATATCGCTTGCAATAATGTAATCATTGCCCCCCTTTTAGCTGCGTCTCTATCATTTCGTTGTACTGTATCAAGTTCCTGTGCTGCCGATTGTTTCTGTAAGATTCTGCTTTTTACAATTGAGGTATCTACACATAAACTTTATCTGGGCTTTTAGAGTCGATGAATCAGCTTTGACAGTTTGAAGATACCATTCCTCCGGTGTTCCCTCGTAGGTGGGCTGGGTTGGGCCTTATTATGGTTATATGCCTCTTCTAGCCTGGAAGGGAAGGCCTGTTTTGTTATTTGCTGGATTAGGATTGATTGCTAGCATACTGGGCCCTTCTGTTCTATGGCCTAAGAGGATAGCACTTTTTTTTTAGATTAAGAGGATAGCACATTTCCTTTTGCATACGTCTACTTGGCAGCCCCTTTATATGGTGTTGGAGAATCTTTTTTTGTGATGATTCGTTGCATGCAAGCACTCAAATGATTAAAAAGGCGCCTCATGCTTTTATTAAGTGGATATAGGAAAGCAGTGCTGCTCCTAAAGTCTAAAGAGAGCTGTAGCACAAACTTGAAACACTGCCAATATTCGTTCGCACTGCAGCAAGAATGAGCGAACGTGTTGGCAGTGGATTGATGTTTCAAAAAATAAAGAAAGCAGGGGATTGTTAAGCTTGACGATTCCCACACTCGCAAAAGAGCACGGAGTGGAGTGGAGGGGTTGCTTTGCGGAACTTTTCACACAAAGCCGGAGTTTGCCCCTTTATGGGGCTCCAACTTTCCATTGGCACCTCACATTTGTTTTTGTTTTTAAGGAATCCGAATTGCTTTCTCTCTCTCTCTCTCTCTCTCCTTTGATAGTCTGATCCCTGTAGCAAGTAGTAGTAGACAGTGACCAAGCAGAGAAAGAGAGAGGGGGGGAAAGATTAAAGAGGAGTTCGTGTGTGTTGCCTTTATGCAAAGACGGGCATCTTTGCAGAGTGCATCCCACTTCGCATTTCCATCTTAAAAGACAAGAGCTCTTTTGCTCATGACTTTTAGTAGTGCAATCTTTCTGCCCTCAAAAGTGGCTAATCCTTTCTCTTCCTTTCATTGGTGTCTCAAACTCCCTGGCCTTTTCTCCTTTCTCGCCCAAAAAGGGCATGGCCATGCCATCTTTTTTGCCACACCCCTCACCATCCATGTTGTGGGACCAGGGGAGCATCATCCATCCTCTTTGGTCGTTTGTCAAGACTCAAATACCTATACCTTCCCTCCCTCCCCAGGTGCCTGCCTTCACACACACACACACAGCTCCTTCCTTCACATTTTATTCCAGCGCAGCGCAGCGAAAGGTAGAGAGACAGAGAGATGAGGCCCTCAATGGGCAATCAATTATAAAGCTTGCCAGCTTTACTGGTGGCCATGCATGCAATTTTCAATCCATCTCCTGAGCTGGAGTGTTTCCCTTCCTTCCCCCATCCCCCATCTCTCCATCTCCTCCAATGGTTAAAACGTACTCCTGCCTGCCTGCCTGCCTGCATCACTACTCTATATACTATAATTTAATGATTTTTATATACATAAAAAAGCTAGCACTTACTGCCTGGTTAAAGGCTTGATAGAGCTAATCATGGTGGTTAAAAGGCGGAAACTTTATTTAGGTGTGTGTTGTGGGTGGGTGCGTGGACTATGATGGCCCGATGCGATTTGCGCTTTTACTTTGCACCAACTTTGTTTCTTGAAGCTAAGGATTGACGCACGGGCAGGCGGCAGGCAGGTCATTATTCCTCATCATGCTCTACTTTGAGTTGCGCAGACAGATGCACGGTAACTTAAGCAACCCAAAAGGGGGGCAGCAGCAGCACAATACAACGCAACGCAACGCAACACGGCCATCTTTTTCTCTTGGTGCCCTCTCTCTCTCTCTCTCTCTCTCTCTCTCACACACACACACACACACACACACAGCTTTGCTTGCATCCCATGGCATGGCAATGGCATGAAATGAATGAGCATGATTTCACCACCAAAGTGCCGTCCACTGAAAGACTACTACTGAGGGATAGGGAAAAAGGTTACTACGACTACACTTCTTAAAAAGACACATGCATGAACCGCCAGAAAGAATAAAAAGAGACCTGCCTAGGTAGTGAAATTATGCGTGCATAAACCACGCTACTAGGCCGCTTTAAATTATTGGCGCTTACAGGAATCATGCACGCTCGATTGTGATTCACTTTTTTCACCTTTCCTCAATAATTACGCACGCACAGAGGCCACCACTGTAGTTTAGTTTCGTCAAAAGAGAAAAAAAAAAGGGAATGGGATGGAAAAAGGCAAGGGGAAAATTTGAATTATGTGACAAGATAGCTCGCATCATTCCTACCTGAAAGGCGCGATATTGTCGAGTACTCAACTCACTAGGTAGCAGCATACTTGGGCCGAGGCTGATGACGTGAGCCTGAACCTTATGAGCCCAGATCCATGCCAAGCCCAGCCCAGACCAGACCATTGAGGTTTGAAGACCCACCACAAAGATGTGATAGTAGTTTGCTTGTTTCCAGAAAAAGGTATTTAGTTTCCCTAACAGCAGATATTGGGTTTAGCTTCTTTCCGGAAAAGAAATAAGACAACACGGCTGTTCCCAACAAATACACCCCCCATCTGATGCTATAAGCGAAGCCGCAGTTGTGCTTATTAGCTCGACGAGTCGTCATCCTTTGCCGAAAAGGAGACCGCGATAAATGAGAAAAGCCAAGTGCCATGGGCAACCTAGTTCATCAGCAGTTTTTCACTGCTGCAGATATCAACACACGCGTGCCTTTAATTTTCAGTTCAGCTATGTGTATCAGTGATTCAGTGTATGTGGGAGAAGAACGAAGATGACCGCGCGCGCGCGCCGGGCCATGCCATCGCACTCATTCCATCATGATGCCGCCGGCCAGCCCCTGCCAGCTGCGAGTGTGTCGACCATTGCATTGCATATGCGTATGATTCGGCGCCGAGAAGGTGGACAAGCAGATAGCAGCTGGATCTCGCCTCAGGCGGCCGACCGGGCTGGGCGGCAGTGGGCCGGGGATCGCCGGATCGGGATCGTACGTCGTCGTCGTGGCGTGGTGGCCTCCGGAGGGATCGATTGTACAGTACGGCGCTGTGAGCAACAGGGTAGCCCGGCCGGGGCCGGGCGACCGCGCGCGTTCACCTGCTCCGTGCGCGCAAGCGCATATGCATGCACGCGGCAGCCGCGCCCGGACGGCGGACGCTCCCGGCCCCTTTTTCCACGATGGGCGCCACAGGGGCAAGTGGTGGTGGACTGGTGGTGCACGCTAGCTGCTGGCCGCGGGCGCCCCCTTTTGCGGCTTGTTGCGCTGCGCCTTGGCCCGGTTGCGCCCGCCCTTATGCTGCGTGCCTCCATGCGGCGAACGAGCGAGCGAGATCGAAAGCGTCGCGCGTGCGTGGCGTCCTCTTGATTGGTTGGCTGGTGACGATCTGGAGTGACGATCGGTGCCTCCGTGCGACGTGCGTGTGCGTGCATGGATGCATGACAGCGAAACGTACTAACTGCTGTACAAACCCTCTGCAGGTGTCGTGCTTGTGCATGCACCCATGCATGGCGTGCATGTTTGTTGCTGACCGTACGTACGTCGTCCTCATCTCCGTCGTCGATCAGTATCTACGATCTACGTCCGTGAGTTTGAATTACATTGGACAGCAGTGAACTCCCCGTCGTCGACTCGTCGATCAATCTTCCCTTATATATCAATCGGCGGCGCCTCTGCGTCGTCATATCGACGTTCCGATCCGGCCGGGGCTCTGGCTGGCCACGCACACTCCCCTAGCTAACTTCTTCCTACTCCACCACGCTGCCCTTTTAAGCACTATTCATCACCAACCGTACCACATGACACAACAGCCTCTACAAATCATGGAGGTGGTGTCGAGGATGTAGGAACTGCCATCGTACACGCCGAGAGACAGGTACGTGAGTTGAAAGCGATATGGAGAGTGTTGGCGAAACTACCTTAAAGGAAACAAGGCCCTGTTCGGCTGATGGTTTCTATGGCTAATAAGTCGGTTGATACTGTTTTGTTGTGAGAGAAAAATACTGTACCATGGCTGATAAGCAGTTCAAACGAACAGAGCACAAATTGAAGCTTCATGTTCCATTTTGAAATCCCCTACGCTCTGAACAACACCTTTTTTTGTACTTTTGTTACTTGTCAATTTTCTTTTTCTGTGTTTTTGTTATTTTCCTATTTTGATATGGTTGGTTAATTGAAGGCCCAAGTAATTATGTTATTTTGCAATCCATAAAATAATCTCAAATTGTGTTACTTTGATTATTTTTCTTCTGCATATGCTTTGTTCAAATCCATACAATGTATTCGGTTCGCTATGTATATCAGGTAAAATCTTCTTTCTCACACCTGTTTTTTTATTTATTTCCTTTCCCTTTCTTCTTCCTAAATAGCATGTGCGAAAGGAACTAAGATTCGGGTCAAATTCTTCTCTCTCCAATTTTAGTTACTATCAATTAAAACTAAATTTACACTGCACTTGTACTAAAGCTACAATAATTATTTTGGTGTAACTTCTAAGTAGAATTGATGTAACTAAAGATTCATGTGAAAATCTTTGTCCTATGCCTATCCTGGCTCTTCAAGTCCACATGATTTACAGCCATTACCTAAATCATGTGAATATTTTTATATTTTTCCATTGTTTAGCTTATCTATTTTTTCTCTTAATTTTTTGTTTAAAACATACTTCAGTTTTTGAGTTATTTTGTAATCTATAAAGTTGAACAAGTTAAAGTGCAGTATGCATGCTCAAGTGTGCCAAAAAGTTTATCCTATTCACCTTTGTATGCTCGAGGAAGAAACCTGACAGCGTGCATGTAAGATCGTATATGAATATTTCAGTGTTCAGATGCTGAAAATCACATCAATTTTGAAATCTACCAGTTTTTATGATTTGTTCCTACAACATATAGAGTGAAGTCTACTTTTAATTCAACACATGAGTGGTTAAAACTGCTCAAACCACTCGAGTCTCTATACACACACTCTTTATTATGAACGAAGTAAACAGGCAAGACCTACTGTTTATTTATTAACGAAGTAAACGGGTTATTCTGCGAACAAAATGCACTATCAAGAAGGTCTTGGCTCCATGTAGCCAATGGAAACAGTGGCAATTTAATGCCATATATAACATTCGACGGAATTATAGGAAACACAAGGTAAAGTGCACTAAGTTAAAGCATGAATACTACATGATAAGTTGTATCTTCTTCGGTTGCACAATCTCAACACATCTAAGTATCCAATTCCACTTTTACGTACGTTCGCCCAATTCGAATGACGCGAACGATAGACCCAGGTGCACCGGTTACTTTCCTTTCCCGTCCGTTATTTCTTTCTTTTTCCGTGCGATTGGACCCTGGTGCAAGGAACCCAAACGGGGACTCCATCAGCGGTCCCGCGGCGTTCTATGGACAAGCAGGTACCTCTATCTTTTTCTATTTATTTTTTTTTTTTATTGTTTTTATTTCTGCTTTTTTCATGTCTTTTTATTTTTAACACATTAACTCATCTTTTTACATGATCGTATATGATTTATGTACTAGTTGTACACGTATAATATGATGTTGTGCACCTTGTTTTTTTTTTTCCTTTTTTTCACTATTTTTCTCTCTTTTTTCACTTTTTCCCTTCTTCCGATCTAATTAAATCTTATGACCACAAATCTGTAAAAGCTATGATGAGAAGTTGTGGTGATAATCTTGATCTACGTATTTATAAGTTATTTCTTACCTAGTTTCATATTTTTTGCTAATATGTTATGATATTAACTTATACATCTAAGTTCTTAAATATAACTTATATGTGTTTTTTTAGTATTCGTTTCATTTTTCTTTCTTTTTAATTTCTTTTTGACGATGTTAGCAAGTTGTATAGAATAACTTATGTACACAAGTTATATAAAATAACATATGTACATAAGTTTTATAGAATAACTTATATACACAAGTTGTGTTTGATAATTTTTGTACATAAGTTGCGTTTCATAACTTTTATGTTTCAAGTTTTTGCATAAGTTATAAGTTAATTTGTTCATCTGTGTTTAATAACTTTTATACATAAGCTGTGTTTTATAACTTTTGTACATAAGTTATGTTTCATAACTTTTGTATATAAGTTGTGTTTCATATATTATATGTTATAAGTTGGTACACATAAATTGTTGCTAAAAATATTTTTTTTCGAAACATATGCAAGTGGGATCTAGTTTTGTTCGCCTCGTCATGTAGAACACACCGGTGCAGATGGAATTGAAAATTGATACATTGTTCAGAAGTTATAGCATTTTGAAATAAATATTTTGTTTTTTGTAAGATGACGTCAGCCCTGATAAGCGGGAAGGGAAGTGGAGTGGGCGCATGGACGCTGCAGATGTTTCTCGGCGGAGGGTGCAAAAATAGAAATTTTAGGATGTCTGAAAATTGATCGCCCGTTTTGAACCCTGTGATCGTTGACCCATTAGTCTGCTCGCATCTAAGTATCTTTTGGCCAGATTATTACCATCTAAAGTAGAGACATGGATCCCCGTCGGATTTATTCTGGACGGGATAGAGAGAAGGGATCGGGATGGGGAACCGTTCCACCGTGGAAAATTTCTTTATTGTCATCCCTACATGGGAGGCAATATATGAATAGCTAATAAAATCTATCCGAGAGCGCACTGAGCACTGTAACGTCTTTCACTAAAAATGACGACTAACGAATTTATTTAAAAAAAAATAAAGCAGATATGTATCTGTCGGAATGGTTTAACTAGTAGCCAGTGAAATAATTGACTGGAACTGAACATCCGGAGCACAAGCTCCAATCTGCAATCTTGGAAAAGGGCCGAATCTGAATGGTTCTCATGCTTCGCTTTGATGCGCCGGCCCCACTGTGGCAGAAGCACATACCACATGCTAGCACGTTAAAAAATCTCCATCCTGTCCCCGCCTCTTTTTCAGCTGCACGCACGCTTCCTGGCCCTGCGGTCTACTACCTGCAGGCTCAGGCTGCAGTTACCACCACCACTCCACTCCACGACTTGAAGCTCGATCACATCCCAAGCAGACACCAAACTAACCCACGACACCGGCTGACCCAGCACGTACACCTCCCGCCCCGCGCGCGCCCGCCGCTAAACCTATAACACCACCGCTACCGCGACGCGGCATCAGCCGCCCGTCGATAACTAACCGCGCTCAGCGGCGGACGACGAGAGCACAGGCATGAGAGCCTACGCAGCGACCCCGGCCGTGGCCACGCTGCCGTCGGCCGCGCCGCCGCTGACACCCGACGCCGCGGCCGTGCTGTCCCGCGCCGCGGCCGACGCGTCCAGGCGCCGCCACGCGCACACCACGCCGCTCCACGCGGCGGCCGCGCTGCTGTCCGGCCCGGCGCCGCTGCTCCGGGACGCCTGCGCCGCGGGGCTCGCGTCCCCGCACCCGCTCCGCTGCCGCGCGCTCGACCTCTGCTTCTCCGTCGCCCTCGACCGCCTCCCCACGTCCACGGAGCTCCAGCACCACCACGACGCCGCCGCCTTCCATGCGGCGGCCGCGCCGCCGCTCTCCAACGCGCTCGCGGCCGCGCTCAAGCGCGCCTACGCGCACCACCGCCGCATCGGGAGCGGCGGCGTCGAGGCCGACGACCACCGCATCGGCGTGCCGCACCTCGTGCTCGCCATCCTCGACGACCCGTCCGTGGCGCGCGTCATGCGCGAGGCGTCGTTCTCTAGCACGGTCGTCAAGGCCGCCATGCTCAGGTCGCTCTCCGACCCGGCGGCACCCGACGCCGGCGCGTACGTCAGCGCCAGGGTGATGCACCGGCAGGCCTCCCATGGCCGGGAGGAGGAGGTGGCCAAGGTGGTGGAAGTGCTGAAGCGGGGCAAGAAGCGCAACCCGGTGCTCGTCGGCGACACGGTGGACGTGGACGCCGTGGTGCAGGAGGTGGTCACGCTGATACAGAGGCAACGGCTCGGCAACGCGCGCGTCATCTCCTTCCCCAAGGAATTCGGTGACCCTGTCGACATGGACAGGGCACAGCTCACCGCCAAGATCAAGGAGCTCGGCGAAGCGGTGAGATCCGCATCGAGCAGCGCCGGCGTCGTGGTCAACCTCGGCAACCTGCAGTGGCTCGTCGAGGAAAGATGCGCGGCTCATCAGGGCGAGCAGCAGGAGAAGAGGAGGGACGTGGTGCTCGACACGGCGCGAGCCGCCGTAGACGAGATGGCGCGCGTTCTGAACCTGTCCAGCGAAGGGGAGCACCGCGTGTGGGTGATCGGCACGGCGACGTGTGCCACGTACATGAAATGCCAGGTGTATCACCCGGCGCTGGAGAGCGAGTGGGACCTCCAGGCCGTGCCCATCACGCCCAGGCCTCCACCGCCGCCGCCGCCACCGCTTGGGCTCTCGCCGAGGTTCGCTTCTCCGCCGCAATCACTGCACGCATCGCCGAGCTAGCTGACACAGAACAGTTGCTCACTGAATCCTCCTATGTGTTGTTTTCCTGATGATGTGACAGTGTTGGAGCTAACAGGGGCATCCTGAGCAGCTCGGTGGAGGTGTTGTCAACGGCGATGACGTCCCCAATGCAACGGGCGCCGAGCCTTTGCAGCGCCTGCATAGAGGGCTACGAACGCGAGCGCGCCGAGATGGCTTCATCGGAGCGCGCTCCCTGTCCGGCCGAGCAACCGATGTCGCTGTGGCTGCAGATCGGCACGCCGAGCAGCGGACGCCCGACCGACCGCGCGCAGGTTGGTTAGTTGTTGTTGTTGTTGCACGTCGTGTCGCGCACACGTCGTACACGTCTCACAACTCCTGTATGTCGTACGTGGCAACGTACGCTCTGACACGTGGAAACTGTCGCTTCTTGTTTCAGGAGAAGGCGCGGGAGGCTGACGAGCTGCGACGCCGGTGGCGCGACCGGTGCGCGCAGCTGCACTCGCATGCCCGCCCGCCGCTGGTCACCTGCTCCGAGTGGAACGGAGCTACCATTCTTGCCAACATGCAGGCGCCGCCGCCGGTGGTACGGCCACCGGTGCAGCCTAGGGGTGCCGTGGACACGGATCTTGCGCTTGGCCTGGCGGCGGCGAGGCCGGCGTGTGAGACGGACGATAAGCTGCTCGTGAGACGGCTTACGGAGGCGGTGAGATGGCAACCCGAGGCTGCTGCTGCTGTGGCCAGTACGATCGCGAAGGCCAGGTCCCGCGAAGCCAGGCGGCTCGGCAAGGCCGACGTCGACGCGTGGGTCCTCTTTGCCGGGCCTGACGTGGCCGGGAAGAGGAGCATGGCCGAGGCGCTGTCCAAGTCTGTCTTCGGCACGGGGGCCGTCACCGTGCGCCTCGGCTACCCGCAAGCCGGCGACGACGGCGGCGAGTCCGTCGTGTCGTGCCGCGGCCAGACGGCGCTGGACCGCATGGCGGAGGCGATACGGGCGAACCCGTTCCGCGTCGTCGTGCTGGATGGCGTCGACCACGCCGACAGCGTCGTGCGCGGGTCCATCCTACGTGCGATCGAGTCAGGCCGGCTCTCGGACTCGCACGGCCGCGACGCCGCTCTCGGCACCAACATCTTCGTCGTGATGTCGCAGTGGTCGCCGCCGTTGCCGGATCACCTGAGGAACTCGCAGGAAGCCGAACCCTTTCTTCCTGACCTGCCATGGAACCTGGAGCACGGGATGATCACCAGCGGGAAGAGGTGCAGGCTGGAGCAGCAGCTTGACGGAGACCGGCGCACAAAGGCACGTAAACACTCGGCACGGGAGCCGCTTCCCCTGGACTTGAATCTGTCCATGTCCGATGACCACACCGATGCCGTAGACGACAGCGGCGGCGAGGGATCACGGAACTCGTCCAGTGACCTCACCGTGGAGCACGAGCAGGAGTACGGCCAGCCCGCTTCCGCCAGATGCTCAGCGCCACCAACCGTGTCCGAGCTCATCAAAGCTGTGGACGGAGTGGTCGTGTTCAAGCCACCGGTGAACTTGGAGCCACTGATGAAACGGAGCGTCTCCGACTTGGTGGTGCCGGCGGCGAAGTTCGGGGACATCACGGTCGGCGGGTGGTCCGTTCACGTCGACGACGGCTTGCTGGGCAGGCTAGCCGCCGGTGCCGCCCGGGCAGCTGGAGCGACGGCGGCCACGCCCATGGAGGCGTGGACCGGCGAGGTGCTGTGCCCTAGCAGCTTACGGCAGTTCAAACGTAGCATGAGCACCAACGACGTGGACGGAGCGACGGTGGAAGGCGGCGGACGGAGAAAGGACGGCGAGATGTTCCCGATGATGCCGGTGACGGTCGACGGCAACTGATGAAGCGCCGCACACTCCGACGACCTCCACGTTTTTCCATCTTTATTTGCTGGTCATCAAGATATGATCAAGCACGGTTTACATTAGTACATTCATGTAAATTTTTCAGAATCATCAGTTTTTTTTGTTTTCGGTTGGAGAGGAGTAACAATCATAAACTAGGGACGGGACAAGAGACTAGGTAGCTAGTAGCTCCTTTTTCCCATTTTGCTTTTACGTACTATTTCACGGAGATCATGGATTCAGTTGGCAACAATCTATGATGATTCACACCTGCATGCTGAACAATCGTGTTAACCTACTATAGAGGATTACGACTGCTGCCTGCATGCAGTTGAACATGAAACTAAGTGCTCCAACCAAAGGATAGTAATACTAGTACATTACTACACTTCCAAGTATAGTACTGGTTATTTCTACCGTTATTTAGCTAATGAAAGCAGGTGAGCTTCATCCTGAAGCATACAGCATGGTCAGGATTGACGGTCATCATTATTTAATCATCATAATGCACCACCTCGACATTGTTACGTTACATGGCATGCATGATGCACGAATGGTAACGCGCCTCGGGTACGATGGCAGCATGGGCGCGTTTGGTGCCACTCGAGCTCAGTTGGAGCAGAAGCACTGAAATTACGGCTCCTTCGTACGTGAAAACGGCTTTGGCTCCTTTTCTAGAGGGGAGAAGTGCTCCTCCTTCTCCAACTGTTTGGTGCGGCTTCATCCACCCATGTGCCAAAGCGGGTCTCGGAGCTGGAGTGGGATCACCGGATCGGAGCCGCACCTAACAGACTCTATATATAGCAATGCTATCTCTACTGTCCCATGCACAGTGACACATTGCATTGTAAGTACCAACGACCAGGTACTGATATGGTGTGTGTGTGTGTGTGTGCATATACGCACACACACATATGTACACACACAAACTGCAGGCAGTGCAGCAGTATCATCCAACAGCTTATGCCGTAGCATGCACTGTGTAGTGTAGGTGTAGCACATCCACCATCCATACCAAGCGCAGGGCGCAGGCGAGGAAAGTCGATCGGTCAAAAGCGGGCAGGTTGTTCCGCGTCCGCGGCGCGCGCCTCGGGAGGCCGGCAACGACCCGGAAAGCGGCACGCAGCAGTGCAGCCGCAGCTGCAGTGGCAGTGCCAAGCCGAGTTGCGCGCACTGCACACGACGAAGGGCACGCGGGGCGCTGGCCGGCCGCGGCCGGGAGCGCGGTCGGCGACGCCCACGCTGCTGCCACTGCCACTGCCACCCGGCCGATGGGCCGAGGAGGCGCCGCCGCTTTATCCATGCCACGCATCGATCCGCCAACCAGCCAAAAGGGGGCCGGGGCATGAGCATGCATATATATGACGCGAGAGTTGATGAAAAGCGAAATAAAGCCACCGCAGGCACACGCGGTAACTAATTCCGCTACGCATGGATCCGATTGGATTGGGGGCAGTGGCCTCCAAAGATTCACCTTCACCCCCACCTTCTCCGGCCGGCCTCCATGGCTCCATCCCTGTACGGACCCATCGGCAATTGCGTCGCAATATTTTTACTGCGTGATCTAGCGTCTTTTCATGGAAGATTATTTCTGCTGCGCGCCCTGGTGTATTTTAATTTGATCGCGGCGTTGGAGGCAGGGATAGATGCTCTGCATGGCATGGATCGGCATTCAGCCCAGTTGTATAATGTGATAATCACATTGTTTAGTGATAAATCCACCTTGTTTGCTCAGTCAGTATGCCACTTGGGTGATAAACAAGGACTCAAAATGTGCGATTATCGATCATAGTGTGATGATGAACAATTAGCCTATCCTAACACTGATGAGCTAATTACGCGACAAAATCTGTGTTTTTGCTTGTTCTCCATGCATAATGTTAATAACGCTTCTCCTCGACCAGTGTTTTAAATCATGGACTATAACATTTAGTGACCTGTCTCCTCAAACAAACTAATAATCACCGATTAAATTGAACTATAGCGGCTAAACCGTACACAGGAGCAACTAGCTAGATTGTCGACAGAATATGCTCGGCAGTCCACCGAGGGGTATCCCGCGATGGTAGATTTATCGGTGGGGATGCGCGTAATCAGGAACCAGATGGTGACACAAGGCGCAGAGACAGCGATTTAGACAGGTTCGGGCCGTCTGATCGACGTAATACCCTACGTCCTGTATCTTTGGTGTATTGTATTGAATACATGATGTCAAGTAGAGGACCCCTGCCTCTCCTTATATACTCTGGAGGGGCAGGGTTACACGTAAAGTATCCTATTTGGTACTATACAATGTCTTGCGGTGCACGCCGAGCAGCGCCGTGCACGCCTTGATCTTGTGGGTCGGGCCACCTCCGATGGTGCGGCCCATGTCTTGGGGGCCATACCCCCACAGTTAGTCCCCGAGCCTGACAGTAGGTGACGCAGTCACATGGTGCCAGGGTCATAAAGTAGAAGACCAGCCGAGCAGGCAACCAGTCCCCGGGCGTAGCCTCGAGATGAGAACAAGCACATTCACCGCAAGGTGAAGTGTGCCCACTTAGTCCCCGAGCCTGCTGGAAGATAAAGAATGAATCTTGTAGCAGGGTCAAAGAAAAAGAAGTCTGAAAGCTTGCCAACGTCGTCTGACATGCGCGTATCAAGACCCCAGACGTGCTACCCAAGATCAGCACCCTGATCCGAACAGCATGGAGCAGCTTTGATAGCACACCGACGAGACGTAGCAAGATCCGAGCAGCAAGGGAGTCCTCGGCGTAGCTGGCGACGTCCGAGCATCGAGGAGTCCCCGGCGTCGCTGGCGATGTCCGAACACCGAAGAGCGAAGAGTCCCCGGCGTCGCTGGCGATGTCCGAGCACCGAGGAGCGAGAGTCCCCGGCGTGGCTGGCGTTGTCCGAGCACCGAGGAGCGAGAGTCCCTGGTGTCGCTGGCGATGTCCGAGCATCGAAGAGCGAGTGTCCCCGGTGTTGCTGGTGATGTCCGAGCACCGAAGAGCGAGGAGTCCCCGACGACGCTGGCGATGTCCGAGCACCGAGGAGCGAGGAGTCCCCGGCGACGCTGTCGACGTCCGAGCATCGAGGAGCGATCCGAGCACCGAAGAGCGAGAGTCCCCAGCGTTGCTGGCGATGTCCGAGTACCGAGGAGCGATCCGAGCACCGAGGAGCGAGAGTCCCCGGCATTGCTGGCGATGTCCGAGTACCGAGGAGCGAGGAGTCCCCGGCGACGCTGGCGATGTCCGAGCACCGAGGAGCGAGGAGTCCCCGGCGTTGCTGGTGATGTCCGAGCACCGAGGCGTCCCCGGCGTAGCTGGCGATGTCCGAGCACCGAGGAGTACCCGGTGTAGCTGGCGATGTCCGAGCACCGAGGAGCGAGAGTCCCCGGCGTCGCTGGCGATGTCCGAGCACCGAGGAGCGAGAGTCCCCGACGTCGCTGGCGATGTCCGAGTACCGAGGAGTCTCCGGCGTCGCTGGCGATGTCCGCAAGGTGAAGTGTGTCCACTTAGTCCTCGAGCACGAAGAATCCGAGCGCTGAGGAGTAACCGGCGTAACTGGCGATGAAGCACGAGCGACGAACATTCTGGTCGACTGGTCGGCAGCGAAGTGAACATTGAGTAGAAGCGACCGGTGAGTAGTCCGATCAACTGGTCGGCGACGGAGTCCATGAACCAAGCGGTCTGACCAGTTGATCGGTGGAGAAGCCCGAGCACCAGGTGGTCCGATCACCAAGACGACGATCCTGCAATACAAATATGTAGAACGGGTAGTACACGATGTACAAATAAAGAAACTCAGGAGAAAAATCAGCAATGGTGATGAAACGGCGTATGCAGTTCAGCGATTAGTTGGCGTGAAAATATATTTATGTTTAATATAAACCGCCCGAACAGTTAGTGTGTGTAGTGAGTCTTGACCCTAGCTAGCCTATAGTCCATAACGTCGAGCGCGGAGCCCGTGCACGTGTAGGACGAACAGGCGTGACCAAGGAGCCGCTGCCGACCACCCATAACGCAGAGCGCGGAGCCCGTAGCACGTGTAGGGAGGAGCCGGAGATAGGGCCGTCTCTGAAGGCGTCCGAGCATCAACGTGACTGTTCGAGGGTTCGAAAAATTATTTGAAGAGCAAATATGGAGAAAACAGTTCGGAGAAACATTATGACGATATACGGAGATTGGAGAATATTTAGAAGAATAATAAAACGTGACTTAGCTTTAGACGGAGCGTCTGGTCGATGGCGTATGGCGTTGTCTGGTCGCCGTTGACGGCGAACACCTGGTGGGCGGTGAGTTGTTGGTGAAGGCGACCTCGGAGGTGGTTCCGAGATCGGATCTGCTATCGCAGGGGCTAGTGTAGCAGCGATGAGTCGTCGTCGTCGACCGGCATGGATCTCCACGAGATTGACGACGAGAACGCGTTGTTTATTTGAGATCCATCTGGCTCGCCATGGATCAAGCGCACACCCCTACCTGGCGCGCCAACTGTCGACAGAATATGCTCGGCAGTCCACCGAGGGGTATCCCGCGATGGTAGATTTATCGGTGGGGATGCGCGTGTCGAGAACCGAGATGGTGACACAAGGCGCAGAGACAATGATTTAGACAGTTCGGTCAGTCGATCGACGTAATACCATACGTCCTGTGTCTTTGGTGTATTGTATTGAATACATGATGTCAAGTAGAGGACCCCTGCCTCTCCTTATATACTCTGGAGGGGCAGGGTTACACGTAAAGTATCCTATTTGGGACTATATAATGTCTTGCGGTGCACGCCGAGCAGCGCCGTGCACGCCTTGATCTTGTGGGCCGGGCCACCTCCGATGGTGCGGCCCACGTCTTGGGGGCCATACCCCCACATAGATCCTTCTCAAACAACTATATATCTACAACAACTTTGAGAGCAAGATGCAAAGACACAAATGAATCACTGTAGGGGGAGTTGTTTTTATAAATGCTGTATTTTTTTCCTAATAAATCTTATTTTTGCCACAATTGAGTTCCCAGGACCCTAAACAAATATTAACCCCCACTGGCAATATAATTAGGCATCCAAGAATTTCTATTTGTAAGAGCTATTTGTAGTATTATCTACAAAATGTAATTGATGCTACTTTACTGAACCTTGTCCTTAAAAAAGGAATAAAAACTTTACTGAATTGCATGTAGCACCGCCCTAACTGGCTAGTCTTTTCGGCGGCAGCTAGTTGTATTTCTTTTATACACCCTTTTGTTCCAAGAAAGAGAGAGAGAAAGGATTCAAGATCCAAACTACTTCTGCTGCTGTGGGCATTTGAATAATCAATCTTGCCTGTACACAAGCACCAATGCTATCCCCTAGAAATACATGAACAACACTACGCTATCCCATCACGCCGCATGATGCCGCATGCAGTACGTCGTAGGTACATCGTGTGCTGAAATTGAAGGGGATAGAGAGGGAATGATGATTTGTCTCCGTGCTGAAATCCCTTTTGCAGGTAGTAAAAGACAGAGTAGTTAAGCGGCGGTAGCTGACAGAGACAAAATGGCTGCATGTTTAGGGATAAGGGCCAGAGGACAAATGCACACTGTAAGTTTCGTTATTACCACTCTCTGCTACGCAGTCTCTGAAAGGACATGCATTAATATACAAAAGGTCTCAGCTGGCCCATGTGGTATGCGGAAAACAGCATTTTTCTTACATGTCTGCTGGCTACATGGAAACTTTGTGAGACAGACGAAAATACAGTAACGCTCCTTCAATTCATCTACTGACGACTGACGTTACATACATGGATGTTAAGCATATCCATCCATCCTGCAGTTTGCAATGGGAGAAGAATGAACAAGCTGAAATATATGCATGCATATATAGTAGTTCTAGTAGGTAAGTCGATAGTGATAATGGCAGAAGTAATTTATGACTAGAACCCAGTAAATAAAACCACAAGCTTTTATCTTTTTGCAGTAGGTGAAGCTTGCTTGCGACAAGGAGATGGAGCAGAGAGTGGCTAGGTAGACAAGGCCACAGATGGTAGCAACAAAGCGGTTCGAGAGCAAGACGCCAAGGACAAAACTGCTGCATGTTTAGGGATAAGGGCCAGAGGACAAATGAGGCGCACGTTAAGCAGGTCGTAACTGCATTTGTGCGTTTGCGGTCTCGCCCACACCGGTGGGGGGGCTGGGGGCTGCAGATGATAAAGAGCTAAACTATCCGGCAGCTTTAGCAGCTACGAGCCTACAACCCGTTGGAATGGAATCGACGAAGGAGAAAGAAGCTGCTGCTGCTGAATCCGCTCATTCTTTCATTTCTCGTTTCAGACTTTGGCCGCGTGAAAGTCCGCGCCACTGAAGCCACGGCAGCTTTGTGAATTTACCACCCCTCCTCCGCGGTCAGGTACTCCGGTCCTCACCGCTTTCAGCGCCTGCCTGCCATGCCATCGGTAAACAAAACAAACAACTCCACCTGCAAGCCCCATGCCGCCTGTAGACGGTGGGTGGACGGTGGTACCAGCACACCATTGCAGCGGCGGCAGAGATGTGCCTACGGCGACAGTGGGAAGAACAAGAAGTGGCCGATCAGCCGATGCATGCAGCCATGCACAGCACGGCAGCTGCTACTCCAGTCTCCTGTCTCCAGTTTGTGTTTGTTGTGTCTAGTGCTTACTGCTTTTAGAGGTTAGCAATTTAGCAAGTTGGGGCATTCAGCTTCGTACGTCCCTGCCACTCTCAAGAGTCAAGTCTCAACCATAGCTTTTCCGAAATGACGGATTATACAAAAACAGAACCATGACCATTTTTGGACGAAAAAGAAACTAAAATGATTTGAAATGCTTAGCTGAGCTGTGAAGAGTAGTGGGCCTTGCAACTGATCGGTGCCATTTGCAACTATGCAACTGCATGGTCGTTCTAAATTGTAAGTCGTTCTGGCTTGTCTCTAGACACAATTTAAATCTACATACGTAGCAGAAGTTATGTATCCAGAAAAAAAACAAAATGATTTACAATTTGGAACCGAGGGAGTACTACTTTTTTAAAAAAAAAAACGTAAGGACCAAATGCTAGTGAATTGAGAATCTCAAACTTTAAAACATCAAACCTTAATCTAATTAAAACAACTTCACCCTTAGCGAGAATTAGCTAAAATATTAAGGCAAAAAAAAAACTAATGAGCATACACACAAGCAAAAGTCCAAAAGATTTGCCGAACTAAAAGCAAGTCTAGGAGCAACTCAACATTTCAAGTGCACACAAATATATCAATAAAAGTACATATGAATAATGAAAGAGTTGGATAAGAGACAACTAGAATTTTCTAGTGAGTAGTTACCACTACCCCTAGTCCATGTTGGAACACCCACCAAGGGTTGAGATCTCTTGAGTCACAAAGGCTCAAGATCCACCGGGAGTAACCATTCTCCATTATGGATTGACAGGTATCAAACCAAGCATAAAGTTAAGAGTTTGCCAATAAGATCTCCATTATAAAGGTCACCTAGTTCTAGACCGTCTTGGAGCTGGCGAACTCCAAGAGTAACAAGTTCTCCATTGGGCCATCTTGGCTAACTTTGTTTTGCAATGATAATGACAAAATGTTAGTTGCATTGAGGACACCTGGTTTTCAAGGCCCCTGAGATATTGGATTTAACTTGGTGTATGTTGCAAGGATATTCATGAAAACTAAGGACACTTTAGTGCTTATATATCTATATGATTTGGTATTGGGGGCATCGAGTGCTCTAGTGATTAACCTGTTGTTTAGTTTACTTACTAGAACTGTGTAGTAGATTGCTTGTTTGGCTTGCTAATTCCTTAGCTTTGCTCCTAGCTTGTGTAGGGATGCTTTTGTTTGACTAGTCTTGAGTAATGATTATTAGAGTCCCTAATTATCTAACAAGTTTAGTGTGCTCTATAGAAATATTAGTAGACTATTCAAGCCTCCTTTAGTCTTTTTTTTTCTCGATCACGCAAAAGGTTTGCGCATCTTTATATTAAAGTAGAGAAAATAGATTGATACAACATGTCTTAGAGGCATCCTAGGGGTCAGAAGAGTTTTACGCAGACCCCCATCAACCGATTCTTTTACCAAGTAAATTGGAGTGGCAAGTCAAGGAGTCACACGTACCAAGCCAAGTGAAGGGTTATTTCTCAAAAAGATGGTCCTGTACTTATTGCGATTAAAATAGATTAATATAAAGGCTAAAATAAACACGTAATCTCATGAAAATGCAGATATCGTCCTGTGCCCCTTCTGTTGGCCTTTTTGATCTACACTGCAGCAGTGCAATAGTAGTGAATAGTGATCATCTTGTTGGTTGTAGGATGGATCGTGTGTTGTGTGTGCTCCCAGTCACAGGGGTCGTTCGGCTCGTTGAAATTTCAGACGGAATTCACTGTTCACAGCTGAAATTCACTGTTCACCTTCTCATAATTCATCCAGATTCATCTAGATTTCTCTAAATTCTTCCTAGCGAACAGGGGGGATAAACGGCAACTCGCCGTGATTATGACTGTGGATTTGTAACTTTCTCACTTTCACTTAATAAAGCACGTGCTAATGCATATTTTCGAAAAAAAAAATCGATATGACTAACACAGTTCGCAAGACCTTTGAAAGCCCAACTATCAGCAGTTGGGCTTGGTCTTGGGCCCAACTATCAGCAGCCTAAAAGGCCCAGAGAAAGGAAGAGGGAGCAGAAAACAGAGGAAACGAAAAACCTTACCCGTCCACCACTCTAACAGCGAAGGCCATATCCTTCCACTGCTATGGCGGCGGCGGCGGCGGCGACGACAACCTCTCCGGCGAGGGCTTCGTGGCGGCCTGCGGTTCCTGCGACCTCCGCATCGGCAGCAGGAGGCTGCTTCCGTGTTGGAGCGAAGCGCTTGTGAAGCCCCACCTCTGAACTCCGTCTTGCGTTATTTTGCAGAATGTTCTTTAGTCGAGCACTCGAGAAGTAATTCAGCGAAATTGGGGCCCTAGTTATGCTTGCTTTCCGCGTGTCTACAGTAGGCGTTTAGGGGCAAATTTGGGACCTCGGATTTGATTAATTTGATGTGTGCCTCTTGTATTGACTAGACATGCTTAAGCTCGTCGTTAAGGGTTTGAGTTCTTCCCCCAGTCACATCATCACAAATTCACAATAAGGAAATGCAGCATCAGAGAAATACTAGTAGTAGTTTACGCAAACCAATAGAAGATGTCTTCTCCTTTTTACAAATTTTTCAATGAATAATGTAACCTCTGTTCTGGCTTTGGTCTTCCTGATGATGTTTAGCTTTACTCCTAAAATAGGTGGCCGAGAAGATTTATCTGAATCGAAACAAATTTGCCTATTTCTCCACTTCCTCTCTTCTCTGTCTTCATCAAGTTCAATCTAGCGTATGTGCGCTCACGTCATCGGTTTCATAAAAATTTGTTGTTTTGCATCGATTTCCTTTCCCTTTGGAAATGTGTAAATACAGGCTTTTTTTTACAGCAATGTAAATGCGGCCATTGTTAACGTGCTGACAACCTGCTGCCGTAACTAACATTTCGTCGGCGTCCATCAGTGCAGGGCTCCGAACAGCAAGCACCTGTCCGCACCGAGTCACAAGGCTCACAACCGCTCACGTCAAGAGCGGGGAAGCCGAAGGGCGTCCAAGCACGGAGGAGAGCGCGGCCACCGGCGGCGGCCCGGACGAAGATTCCCTGCGACGCGAGCTCGAGACTTCGATCGAGGAGGAGGACTACGCGCGCGCCGCGGCGCTCCGGGACGAGCTCCGCGTGCTGCAGGAGGACGGCCGGTCCGCGGTGCTAGCGGCGAACGCGCGGTTCTACGCCGCGTTCAAGGACGGCGACCTGGTGGCGATGCACAAGGTCTGGGCCAGGGGCGACCACGTCTACGTGGTGCACCCGTCGGCGGGGCGGATCTCCGGGTACGAGATGGTGATGCAGAGCTGGGAGATGGTGTGCGACGCCGGCTACGAGTTCCCGCTGCAGATCGACCTGCAGGACGTGGAGGTGCGCGTGCGGGGCGGCGTCGGCTACGTCACCTGCCTGGAGATGGTCAGGACCAAGGGCAGCACCAGCTGGGGGAAGCAGCTGGCCACCAATGTATTCGAGAAGGTCGATGGCGAGTGGCTCATGTGCGTCCACCATGCCTCGCACTTCGACGAGTGAAACTGCTCTGCGCTTCAATCGATGAGTGAAACTGCTTTGCGCTTATTGCCAAAAGCGTTAGAATTAAAAATAATTTAAAAAAAGTGTTAAAAATTTTAAAAAAACCACGATCTTTTAACACCTTTTGTAAACTATTTCTAAATCTGACACCAACTTTTTTTTATCTAACACTTTTGGCCGCGCCTATTGCCAAACAACGCTGTCGCGCCGCGACATGCATGGCGGCGCGACAGCGGCGATGACGTGGCACTTCCTCGGGCCATGGCCGCTGACGTGGCACGAGCTGCCGCGCCGCACATCTTGGCGCGGCAGTGCCGCGCCACGGCCCACGGCGCGGCGAAGCCCAACATAGGACCGCGGCCCGGCCTCCCTCTCCTCACTGTCTCTCTGTCACACTCGAGTGAAACGGATCGAGGGGGAGACGCGCCTGTCGCCGCCGCCGCCGCCCGTGTCCACCCGCTGGCGCCGCTGACGCCAGCGCCCACGCTCCCCCCCCCACGACCACCCGCCTCCCTCTCTCCCCATTTCTCCCTCTCTAGGCCGCTCCAGGAGCGGTGCTCATCGCCGGTGCAGCGGCCCTTTCCCCACTGTCGGCCGGCCTCTCTCCCCATCGTCTCCTTCACCTGCACCCCCCTGTCCCTTCCTTGCTCGGACGGTAGTGTGCCGCACCCCTCTCCTTCTGTCTCCTACTCCCAGAAGAAGCCCGTCGGCGGCGGGCATTGTCGCCGCCGGTCACCTCGTCGCCATTGATGGATTTGGCTAAGCCCCAGTCTTTCTCTCATTATCAAGGTACTCCCCTTATGTATTTGTTGATTGAATCGAAATTGTTGTTACTTAAGGTTAAGATGCAAAATTAGTTTGAATGATTAGTTAGTATAGTAAGTTAGTATAGTTAGTATAGTTAGTAAAGTTAGTTAGTTTAGTTAGTATAGGTAGTATAATAAGTTAGTATATTTAGTAAAGTTAGTTAGTTTAGTTAGTACAGTTAGTGAGTCTAGTTAGTTATTGTATTTAGTATAATTAATTATTGTAGTTAGTCTTGTATAGGTGTTCATATTAGATTAGTTAGTATAGTTATAATTAGTATAGGTATTAATATTATTATGGACAGTACGTACGACGATTTCGACGACTTGAGGAAGTTTCTTGAAATGCTTTTGTAGATGGATTATTGTGTTAGAGTTTTCTACGGAGGAAGTGTTAGGAAAGAAGATGGTATGTTTGAGGATATGGAAGAAGAATTAGAATGGTTTAATGAACCTTCTAACTTTAGCGACCTTTGTGGCCGTTTGAATGGAAAGTTTGGCGGTGATTATACACTGAAGGGGAGGTTTGATAGTGGAAAGACTAGGACACACTACGTGCTGATGCCCTTGCAGGACCATGCTCACTGGTCCCACTACAATAGGGTAATCCAAGGTTCCAATGTGGCCTTGGTTGAGGTGGTTGTGGAGAATGGGTACAAGATGCATGATCTCCAGGAGGGGCCGTCCTTCGATGATGATAGTCAACAAGAATGTGGGGGTCATGTGGAACCAACTATGGGTACTATGGATTTGGATGGCCAGTTGACGCAGGAGCAGTTTCATTCAAGTCAAGTAGGTTGTATAAGCAATAACTTCGATGTAAACGAGTTCAAACGGGAAGAGAAGGAGCAGGAGGAGGAGGACAGGATCGGTGATGTAGTTAGCAGTGATTCAAATGATGACCAGGGAGGTAGACATGCTATGCTCACACCGGTTGATGTCATGCTAGTAGCTGTTTATGACATGCTATTACCAGTACCAACTGAGGTTTTGCATGCTATGCCGGCTTAGGATAGACTAGTCATAGATTTGTCAGCAGATGATACCCCCTATGATTCATGGGGCAGAATTAGCGAAGCACAGCAGTATGTTCCACCACCACCTTACACAGCGACAGAGCCTGAGCAACTAAGGTCGATGAATGTACTTTTCAGGGGCGTTTTGAACTATAGGGATGTTAGCATGACGGATATGACAGTTTGTGACATCGGTCTCCAGATGTGTAGGAAATCATTGTATGACCATGAGAAAGAAATCCTTAGTTAGGGGATGATATTCAATACAATGCCAGAGATGAAGCTCTTTCTTCAGGACTATGTTGTGTGTCACCATATGCCGTACAACGTCACTCATTCGGACCAGGAGTTGAGGTACCACGTGATATGGAAAAACGGTTGTATGTGGAGGTTAAATGCACGAAAGAGACAGAGTGATGGCAAGTGGAGGATAAGTAAAGTGGTCGAACCCCACACTTGCCTATCAAATAGGGGGAAGGAAAATCATCAGCAGCTCACTGCACGTTACCTTGCCCGTCATATATTGGGGCTCGTTGATGACAATAACGACATTTCGGTGTCTTCGTTACAACAGTCCATATCTGGATTCGTTAAGTATGATGTGAAGTACGGAAAGGCTTGGTGTGCTAAGCAAATTACCCTGGCAATTCGTTGGGGTAGTTGGGAGGAAGCGTACAACAGGGTGCCCCGCATCTTATGTGCAATGCATTACTACAACCCTAGCTTGAAATAGTTTGTGGACACCGCAGGGATGTATTTTCGAGACCCGTTGAGGCATGTCTTGTATCGTGTGTTCTGGTCGTTCGCGCAAACGGAACATGCATTCTAGTTTTGTCGGTCAATCGTACTTGTTGATGGCACTTTCCTAACAGGAAAGTACAAGGGCACCTTGATGATGGATGTTGTTGTTGATCCAGAGGACCAGATAGTACACATGGCTTTTGCTTTGGCAGAGGGAGATAACAATGAATCGTGATCATGGTTCATGCGGCTTCTACGTGTACAAGTGCTTGGCCCATCTCGCACTATATGTTTGATCTCAGACCGTCACCCAGAGCTTCTTAATGCCGCAACTGAGCATATAGATGGGTTCCCGCCTCTAGTGCACAGATGGTGCATGAGACACTTTGCCACTAATTTCTGGCGGCGTCGGAGGAAGAAGGAGGTATGTGACAAGGTAAAGACTCTATATTGTGTACGTATAGAGCACAAGTTCAAGGAGACAAAGAGAGAACTAGACAAGACGCTAAATGAAGTGGACAAGGCCTGGTTAGAGGCGCAGATGGAATAGAAGGCTAAGTGGGCGTTAGCATATGACGAGGGGGGGTTTAGGTATGGCATCATGACCACTAACTCCTCGGAGTCTTTCAACAGTGTACTCACCGGAGTTCGATCGTTGCCTATGTCTAGAATTGTTGAGTTATCCTTTCATAAGTGCAACGAATATTTTGTCAAGAGGTGAGAGCTTGCGCAGAGGAATATAGTTGAGCAGAACATTTGAAGGAGGCCAAGGAATTGGCCAAGCAGCACACCGTCGAGCCATATGGACCCCGCCGCCATATCTTTAGTGTATGGGCCAAAGGTGGCACAAGCTTAGGCGGCGAACGTTATGGTGGACGAAACTACCGAGTTGATCTTGACAAAGTAGAGTGCAGTTGCAGCATCCCTCAGATCATGCATGCCCCTTGTTCTTATATGATCACGGCCTATAGGGTTCACGGGTATAACTTTGAGGATCTGCCATACATGTCACCCTTGTATCTCCATTCGAACACCGTTATTATTTGGGAGAAGTGCTTCGAGCCATACCTTGACCCGACACAGTGGCCACCTTATCATGGTTATGACTACGCGCATCCAGATCTAATGAAGGTAGGCAAGGGTAGGAGGAAGGATAAGCGACTCAAGGGGGATATGGACGCTATGAGAGGGTACGACGAAGACATGTACGGAGGGTGAGACTTCAACGAGACCCGTGGCAGAAATCTTTGCTCTGTTTGCAAAGAACCTGGTCACAAGGCTAGCAGGCATAGAAGACAAGGGCAGCAGATGCAATAGCATACATTTTATTATATTAATGTTAATTGTTTGCTATACTATTTAAAACTACTATGTTAGTACCAATTATGATATATGTTTATTCTCTCATTTTGCATAATAGTTTATTCCTTTTACATTTTGCTTCAAATCGATCGCCTCAAATCCTATTCTGCTTCTACTGATCCCCTATTTTATACCATGAGATTTATCGATGGCCTTCGGCCCAACCTCAAAGCTATGATACTGGTTTCTATGCCACAAACACTCGATGCTGCTATTTGCATGGCTCTTGTGCAGGAGGAGGTGGCGGGCCAATCGGGCGCCCAGTCTTTGTTCCGTTCGTCGGCACCGGTTGAGTGGTCTCAGAAACCCACACCACGGACCGCGTTGCCGCTACCACCACCACCGCCTCGTGTCGAGAAGCCCGTGGCGAAGCCTGCAACTGCCGAGCCCACGGCAACATCTTCAGCAACTGGTGCTCTAGCTGCTGTCAAAGCATACTGTCGAGCTCTGGGCTTATGCTACAAGTGCAATGCCAAATGGAGTAAGGATCACCGGTGCGCACCAGAGGTCTTGCATGCAGTCGAAGCTCTTTGGGAATCACTGGATCCTGATGTGGTGCCAGCTACAGACACATCTGATGATCAACCAACTGAGCAAGTGTTTCTAGCCATATCCAAGTCAGCTGTGTCTGGGGTTCTTGCTGCTTGTACTATCCGGCTATTGGGATCCATGTCAGGTATTCCGGTACATATTCTGGTGGATTCAGGGAGCTCCTCTTCATTTATCAGCGACACTACAGCTGTTCAGTTACGTCACCTCGATTCACTCTCTATTTCTAGCTGTGTGCAAGTTGCTGGTGGAGGTGTCTTACAGAGTTCCTTGCTGCTTCGCCAAGTTCAGTGGACAGTGTGCTCCTGCTCCTTTCACACTGATTTTCGGGTACTGCCTTTGGGTAACTTCGATGCCATTCTGGGCATGGATTGGCTAGAGTCCTACAGCCCAATGCAAGTTCACTGGGCCTTAAAGTGGTTGGCAATTCCATACGATGGCCAAACTCAGGTGTTACAAGGTATACTTCCTGATGAACCAGAACAGTTGCTGTTGCAAATTGATCACACCGAGCCTGTTCTGTCTTCAGATCAGGATGCCATCACTGTTCCAGCTCTAATCAGTCAGTTAATTAAAGAGTTTTCTGACTTGTTCTAGCCACCAACTTCTCTTCCTCGTTCCCATGCTTGTAACCATGAGATTCCTCTGTTGCCTGGTGCTCAACCTATTTTCATCCGGCCCTATCGATACCCGCCCAAATTGAAAGATGAAATTGAAGCCCAGGTTCAGAAGATGTTGTCACAAGGACTCATTCAGCCGAGCTCTAGCTCTTTCTCCTCACCGGTACTGCTTGTCAAAAAGAAAGATGGCTCCTACTGCTTTTGTGTTGACTTCAGACATCTCAATGCACTAACAAGAAAGTCTAAGTTTCCTGTGCCAGTGTTTGACCAGTTGATGGATGAGCTCGCTCACGCTAAGTAGTTCTCAACATTGGATCTTCGAGCAGGTTTTCACCAAATACTTTTGCAGCCTGGTGAAGAGTTCAAGACCGCTTTCTAGGCTCACCTGGGACAGTACGAGTTTAGAGTGATGGCGTTCGGTCTTACCGGTGCGCCAGGCACATTTCAAGGTGCAATGAATGGTACTTTGGCTCCGGGTTTGCGCCACTTTGTGTTGGTTTTCTTCGATGATATCCTCGTCTATAGCCCCACTTTTGAAGCTCATGTCGATCATCCGCGCTAAGTTTTTTAGTGGTTATGCGCCGATCAGTGGAAGCTCAAGCTCTCCAAATGTACCTTCGCTTGGGAGTCCATCTCCTACTTGGGTCATATTATCAGTAGCCAAGGTCTTTCCACGGACCCAGCGAAGGTGCAAGCAGTCCTCGAATGGCCCATTCCATCTTCAGTTCGGGAGTTCCGCGGTTTTCTGGGCCTTGCCGGCTATTATCAGAAGTTTGTGCGTCATTTTAGCATTATTGCCAAGCCTCTCACCGATCTCCTGAAGAAAGATCGGTTATTCATCTGGACCTCAACCCTTGAGTCTGCCTTTTCGGTCCTGAAACAGGCTCTCTGTACTGCCCCTGTCTTGGCATTACCGGATTTCAACTTACCTTTCCACATTGAAACTGATGCTTCGGGTACAGGGATTGGAGCAGTTTTACAGCAGAATGGGCACCCCATAGCATTCATCAACAAGGCTCTAAATCCTAGGAATCAAGGGTTGTCCGTCTATGAGAAGGAATATCTCGCTATCTTGCTGGCTGTTGAACAATGGCGTCACTACTTGCTTCAGGGCGAGTTCTTCATTCACACTGATCATCGCAGCTTAGTCCATCTTAATGAACAGAGGCTCCATACTGCATGGCAACAGAAGGTCTTCTCCAAGTTGCTCAGGTTATAGTATAAGATTCTGTACAAGAAAGGCTCGGAGAATGGCGCGGCAGATGCTCTATCCCACCGCGTGCCAACAACCCAGAGTTATGCTATATCATCAGTCTCCAACACTTGGCTCGATGAAGTGGTCCAGGGATACTACTCTGATCAAGCTGCTATGGCTTTGTTGTCTCAGCTGGCTGCCAGCCCAAAAAGCCACCCTCCATTCTCTTTGGTCCAAGGAGTCATCAGATACAAGAACCGTCTGTGGCTCGGTTCCAATAAGCCCATGCAGCTTAAAATCATGACTGCACTGCATAGCAGTCCTTTGGGTGGTCACTCAGGAGCTCCAGCAACATACAGTAAAATTAAAGCTTTGTTCTTCTGGCCTGGTATGAAATCAAACATTTGGGCTTATGTTCAGTCCTGTGTTGTGTGTTTGCAAGCTAAGCCGGACAGATCACGCTACCCAGGTCTCTTGCAGCCACTTCCAGTGCCGTCTATCTCCTAGGAAGTGGTCACGATGGATTTCATCGAAGGGTTGCCACAATCTGGTTCCTTCATTGCCATCTTAGTAGTGGTGGATAAATTCTCTAAGTTTGCACACTTTATTCCCCTATGTCATCCCTTTACAGTAGCTTCTGTTGCCAAAATTTTCATGGACCAAGTGTATCGCCTTCACGGTCTTCCTCGAGCCATTGTCTCAGACCGTGACCGCATCTTTACAAGCAACTTCTGGAAATATCTGTTCAAGGTAGCCAGTTCTGAGCTTTAGTTCAGCTCAGCATACCATCCTCAAATGGACGGCCAGACAGAGTGTGTCAACCAGTGTGTCGAAACATTTCTTCGCTGCTTTGTGCACACTTGCCCAACTCAGTGGAGTCGTTGGTTACCACTCGCTGAATTCTGGTATAATACCTCTACACATTCCGCGCTGGGTCGTTCCCCCTTTGAGGTCTTATATGGTTTTCCTCCTCGCTTGTTGTCGGTGAACTTGGATGAGGTGGCTCTAGTACCTGATGTTCACAAGTGGATGGCTGATCGAGAGCTCATGCATACTGTTGTCAAGCAGCACTTGCTCCGTGCTCGGACTCGCATGAAACGACAAGCTAATAAAGGCCGTTCTGAGCGCCAGTTCTCTATGGGCGACATGGTGTTCTTGAAGCTTCAACCCTATATTCAATCATCACTATTCCACCGCTCCAACAACAAATTATCTTTCAAGTTCTTTGGGCCATTTCAAGTCATTCAAAAGGTTGGTCTAGTTGCCTACAAGCTGCTACTTCCACCAGGCGCTGCTATCCATCCGGTCTTCCATGTCTCACTGCTGCGTTCGTCTCTAGGCCATCAGCAGCTATCACCATCACTACCTTCTGACTTGCAGCAGTTTCAGTTTCCGCTTCGGGTGCTGCAACGATGCTGGACATCCAGGGCTCGCCCTATGGCACAAGGTCTTATCCAGTGGTCACATTCACCTCCGGAGCTGTCTACTTGGGAGCCGCTCGAGCAACTTCGCCAATAGTTCCCGCGAGCACCAGCATGGGGACATGCTGGTTCTAAAGATGGGGGGAATGTTAGCAGCCTGCCCCTGCCTGTGCCTGTGACAGTTGAGGACGACGTGCCGGAAGCTGAAGAGGAGGCTGCTCGGGCTGACCGGCCCAAGAGACTGCGCCGGCCCAGTACAAGGATTGTTGGCCCAATGTGGCAAGCCTAGTAAATGTATTAAGTAGCAACAAGGAGAGAAGAGAGGGCATGGATGATAAACAGAAAACAAAACTTTGCTTTTGAGAAAATCCAACCATCGCGTCGTTCACTGCTTGTTCTTCTAGTTCTTCCTTCTAGTACTTTCTCCTTCTAGTAATTTACCCTTATAGTGACCCACCGTCGTGAGTAGCTCCACGGACGAGGCCCGCAGGGTCTTGGGCAAGTGCCCGTGCTAGTGCGGAGTGGTGGTAGGAGATGTAGTAGCTCGAGCGGCTCCTCTAGTAGGTGCATCTCTGGCGGGCGCATCACCATTGAGCGGCTGCAGCAGCGGCTCCATGGGCTCCTCCAACATGCGGCAACGGCTCCTCCGGTGGATGGCGGCAGCGGCTCCTTCGGCGGACGGCTACAGCAGTGGCTCCAGCGTCTCCTCCACTGGGAGGCTGCAGCAATGGCTCTGGCGGGCCACTGCAATAGTGGCTCCAGCAGCCCAGCGTCTCCTCCAGCGGGCTCAGCTTGGGCGAGCAGCTACAATAGCGGTTCCAACATCTTCGGCGAGCACAGGTAGCATGAGCTTGGATCACGCGGACCTACCATCTCAGATGGCGGCAGGGTTGGGCCGCACAGGAGAGAGAATAGGCAGTGCTCGATAGCCATGGAGGTGGGAGAGGAGCAAGGGGAAGAAGATGACAGTTGAGGGGTGGGCCTAGCTTATTAGAGGAGATACAACTATCCTCTTATTTGAGGGGAGACGAGGGAGATATGGGTGACCATAGAAAATAAGGGAGAGGTATTGGGGAATTACTGGAGCATAAAAAAGCAGTCATCTCCCCCAATATGATTGTTTTATGGGGATTGGGGATGGTATTGGGGAACTGCTGGAGATGCTCTAAGATCGTCTGCAGTCGCGTGGCTCGACTACAGCCTGCAGTCAGGCCATCTCCACCGTCCGCTGCTGATTCAACGATATCTCTGCCAAAGTGTGACACACAGGCCACACAACAAGGCCCATCATAGCCCAGGTCCAACCGAGAGGTACCATGGTGTTTCTGTTTTCCGCTCTACGGAGTGTGGACCGGCGTTCTGAGTCCGAGCGACACATCGGCCCCATTCGCTGGTCTGAAACTTGGCTGAAATTGGCTAAAAAATATTGTTCCGGCTGAATTGTTGTGAGAGAAAAACACTGTTTCAGCTAAAAAAAGAAGCCGAACAAGCCGAATATGGGATAAGCCGAACAGGGCCATCATCGTTATCCCTCATCGAGAGCCACATCGTCCCCACCCTCTCGTTGAGAGCCGCGCCGTCGCCATCTCTGCTCTGACTACCACGCCGTCTCTATCCTCACGCCGAAGACTGTCGTCGTCGCCGTCCTCGTCGTCGAGGGCCACACCGTCGCTGTCCCGGACATCTAGCTGCAGACAGGTTGTGGTCCCAAGAGCTCAATTTCTAATGCTCTAGCGACAACATGCATGGAAAGGGGCAACGACAAGAAGGCGTCGTGAAGGCTTGGAGCAGCAGAAACCACGCGGAGCAGTGCTAGGATCTGTCCTATGATGCTTGGAGCAGCAGCAGTGGCACTTGAATTTGTTGATTGAGAATGTTGTATATACTAAACATTCTGCTAGATGCAATGGTTGAATGTTGCATTGGAATCAGTTTGGAAGAAGATTATCAACACAAGCTGATCGATATTATTTTCCAGTGCTCTAAAGAATACATGTGGTAGAACCGCTTAGAATAACACACTTTTGGAGGCGCTTATCTTCCACTAGACACTAAGCACCCTGAAAGTGGGTTACTTCTAGCGGTTTTGTCGAGCACACCCCAAGGGAGAACTCGAAACAATCCATATTTTACATCCATAATCCAATAATAAGAACGAGTTTACAATACCTAGTCTATTTCATACAACAGGAGTTCTTAGAAATAATTTATTACAATACCAAGTTTAGAGTACGGAAATTAAACAATGGAATTGAAACAAACATCTAACGATAAGATACAAGGATCCATCTGTGCCCACCAGAAGAATCATCCACACAAAGCCACTCCTCAAGCTGCATCTGCAACAGGGGTAAATAAACC